ATGTGTCCCTCATTTTGTAATAGTTAATTTACCCATTCACACGGAACTACCTGCCCGGTGAAGCCAGTGGCCCGTGACCCCTCTGAGCACTCAACACCGTGTGGGAGTCAGTTTGTGGTCAACTTCTTTTATGAGACAAATCAAAGCAAACGTTTCCATATGAAGACAAAAAAAAGTAGACATACAAAACAACACAAGACACCGCAATGATGACCACGACGGAGGGGTTGGAGGCGCGCAGGGAGGGGGGGGGGGGTTGTTTGCATTTACAATAATTCGTGTATACCCTTCACCTTATGCTACGGTCAGAAAGGTTCGTACGAACGATAATTTCGTACGAATCTCCCTGTTTTTCCATTGTCTTCCCGAATTTCCATTGTCTGAAAATCGTTCGTACGGCGTTCATAGCAGTTCGTAATGGCATTTGTGACCGAGGCTTTACTTTACTTAAAATGGCATTTCCATCTTTCTTCTCTTTGCTCTCCATCCCAGATGATTTCCACAGCTTCATAATATGTCAAGAAGAATGGGTGAATATTACATGCCCACTGGGAGAGGTCATCATCATACTGTCTGCGATCTACGGACGCACCGATCCGGTCGTCTGCCAATACACTGGTTCAGTAAAAAATGCGATGAAAAATACCGCCTGTATCCTGGACGTCGCCGCGGACATTTGCCAACCCTCGGGTTCAGCATGCAACTTTAAGGTTAATAATGCTAAATTCGGAGACCCCTGTTTTAAGACGTTCAAGTATCTCAATTTGACCTACACGTGTATCCAGGCTGATCAGTAAGCCAATACTAAGGCCATTTAAAAAATATATACATGTTTAGCGTCCCCGCCCGCTTCCTTTTTGGGGGCCGCCTCCTATTTTTTTTTTTTTTTTTTTTTTGAAATTTTGAATTTTTTTTTTTTTTGAATTTTTTTTTTTTTTGAAAGAAAAAAAAACATGAAAAACACTGCTAAAATGGCTCTATTTCTGATTTAAAAAAAAAAAAAAAAAATTGTCGGCGGCCATCTTGAAAAAAAATAGCCTCGACTATCAGGGAAAATGTACCGAGCGGCCATTTTGAGCGGCCATTTTGAAATAAAAAATAAAAAGGGCCTCCTCCTTCCTATTTTTCGAAAAAACAGGACGCTAAACATGTTTTTTTTTTTATTTGGCCTAATATTAGTTGACAGGCACTAACCCTTGTCGTCATGACAGAGTGCAGTCTGAACTGTGAGACTATGCATGGTCTACTGTACTCCAGAGGCTCTGTACTTTAGCTGCTCCTGACTCGGCCAGAGATCGACACAGTTAGGCTCTGCTCAGGACTTTATGGAACTGTAATTAAGTGTCAAATTAGAGTCTCTGTCTACAGACTATATTGAAGTTTGAACGAGAATGATATTGCAATTGACTGACTACATATTATGCTCTAATTACTCTCGAATTGTTTGCAAGTTCAAGTTCGTTTAAGACAAAATATTGGTACACCTTGGATTTTGTGAGGAATTTTCACAACCACGAGCTTGTCTAGGCAGTGGCGGATCGGGGGGGGGGGGGGGGGGCACACGTGGCACCTACACAATTTTTTAAACATTGAAGAAAAAAAATGAGGGAGAACAATTTGTTTTCAATCCAATCTTTAAATCACACAATTTTTACTCTTCAAATTAGATCTCAGTCTAATTTTAGTTAATCACCCAATGTGTATCCTTCTTAAATGACCAATTGCGAATTTGCAACCATTTATTTAAGTTTTGTACGTTATTGCCCATGTATATATTTTCATAGAGTCATGTGGAAGACTAGCTCAATCATTCTTCATGCGGTATTCTATGAATTATATTAAAGCGTATCTGCCATAGTTTACAGGAGGGATTAGACTGCCCTGCAAGGTCACTGGACAGGTGGTTATCTCATCAACTCAGCTCTCAGTTAAAATAAGAAAAAGAGGATCATGGGGGACCAATGGTCACCGATTAGGCATGGTTTGTTATATAGAGGGCGCAAGTAGCTACAAGTAGTGCAGTGGGCCTTTAACATTGTCTGTGTGTAATTGTTTGCTAGCTGAACAGGGTACTCTTTGTAAATATCTGATTTAGATAAATGAATACACAAATAAATAGATAAAATTCTTACTGGAAATTGACGGATTAAAAAAAGGAGAGATTTTTAACTCATTCATTTCCCATGTCAGTGCAAGAACAAAAAAAACTTCCACGTGGAAGATTCTACCATAATAATGTAATACATTTAAAAGATGTGTAAATAGCAATAATCTGAACAAAAGCTATTTTATTTTCTGACCTTATACTTAATAGTATTGCACTATTTAGGTTACACTCTGCAAATTGTAACCGCTGTATGTATATATTTGTCTATTAAAAATATCGAAATTAATAAATTTGGTATCTATCATCTTCTGATTGTATGGGCACAACTTTCAATTTCAATTCTGCAATTACATGTTTACATTACCTTTAGAGTGGGGGGCGGGGGCGGGAGAGATACAGAGAGGGATAAATAGAGAGAGAGAGAGGGGTGGAGGGGTAGAAGAGAGTGTGAAGTTGAAAAAGCTAATGGAGTGAAAGAAAAGGAGTCCATGTTTAAGTACTATAAAGATTAAAGAGAATGATAGTGAATTAGAAAGAAAAAAATGGTAGAAAGACTGAGAGCGAGAAAGAGGAGAAAGAGAGAGAGATTGAAAAGAAATAGAGAGGGAAGGGGGCAGAGAGAGAGAGATAGAAAGAGATAGAGGGGAAGGGGCATGCAGGTAAATATAATAATTAGGATCGAGGTGCTACAGTTTGTTTAAAAGAGGGGCGTTGTTGAGAGTAATAAAGATGCTGATCTTTGTTATTCTGCTTGATGTCTCCCGGCTTCGCCCCCATCCCCAGCCTTCCTGGTTCTCTGCAGTTCAGTTCTAATCTCTATCTCCTCTCCTTTACCTCCCCCGTAGCCCCCTCCTCCTCCCTCCTTCCTCTTCTGCTTCTTCTTCTTCTTCTCCTTTTCTTCTCCTCCTCTTCTTCTTCTTCTTCTTCTTCTTCTTCTTCTTCTTCTTCTTCTTCTTCTTCTTCTCTTCTTCTTCTTCTTCTTCTTCTCTTATTCTTCTTCTTCTTCTTCTTCTTGTTCTTCTTGTTCTTGTTGTTCTTTTGTTCTTGTTCTTCTTCTCTTCTTCTTCTTCTTCTTCTTCTTTTTTTTTTCTTCTTCTTCTCCTCTTCTTCTTCGTCCTCTTCTCTTCTTCTTCTTCTTCTCTTTTTCTTCTTCTTCTTCTTCTTCTTCTTCTTCTTCTTCTTCTTCTTCCACTTCTTCTTCTTCTTCTTCTTCTTCTTCTTCTTCTTCTTCTTCTTCTTTTTCTTCTTCTTCTTCTTCTTCTTCTTCTTCTTCTTCTTCTTCTTCTTCTTCTTCTTCTTCCTTTTCTTCCCTCTTCTTCCCTCTTCTTCCTTTTCTTTCTTTTTCTTTCTCGCTAGTGATATCCACCGATAGTTCGACCGGTACGTTAGTTCTGTAGAGCTTGCGTTTTTCTCCTGTATGGTATACAATAAACTATAACTTGCCGATGGGTGTGGTGGATCCCCGCCCCCTCCCTCAGTGTTATTTAGGGTACGCATAGTATGCGTGTTCCCACCCACCCCCCCCCCCCTTTAAGCATAAGTCCGTGTGTGTAAAGTCAATACGGATAGAACAACAAATTATCCCATTCTGGATTATTTCTTCATTTCTGGACTGTAAAAAATACAGAAAATACTATTAAATCCTTGCTTATTTGATCTTTTATTAACCATCTAGTCACAAAACTCTGTTATTAATTGGTAGAAACAAAGGTAAATGTTCCTTTTTATTTCCTATCTTTTGCAAGAACAAAATAAAATTCATCTCAACCTCTCTACATGACCATGCATTCACTCTCTTTCCTTGTACCTCATCTTAAAACACAAAGCAATTAAAACAAACCAGAAAATTGTATTCATACAGGGATGCATTTTATTTTTATTTTATTGTTTAAATCACCAATTGACAGGTAATATATTTACAAATGTCATATTCATTCCTTATCAAAATAATAATGAATAAAAAAGATTATTGACAGGTAACATATTTACAAATGTCATATTCATTCCTTATCAAAATAATAATGAATAAAAAAGATAATTGACAGGTAACATATTTACAAATGTCATATTCATTCCTTATCAAAATAATAATGAATTAAAGATAATACCATTCTACAGACCACTAAATGGTATAAGCGTTATACCAATCTACAGGGCACTAAATGGTATAAAGCGTTATACCAATCTACAGAGCGTTAAAAAGTATAAGCGTTATACCAATGTATATACAGGACACTAAATGGTATAAGCGTTATACCAATCTACAGAGCACTAAATGGTATAAGCGTTATACCAATCTACAGAGCACTAAATGGTATAAGCGTTATACCAATCTACAGAGCACTAAATGGTATAAGCGTTATACCAATCTACAGAGCACTAAATGGTATAAGCGTTATACCAATCTACAGAGCACTAAATGGTATAAGCGTTATACCAACGTACAGGGGCGTACACAGGATTTTTTTCAAGATGGCTCGTATAACAAAATAAAAAGATCTATTAGATCTTTTTATTTTGTTATACGAGCCAGCACCCCCCCCCCCTCCCCTTTCAACATAAGTCCGGTGTATAAAGTCAACGGGTAGATATTTTTCTTTGTTACGAGCCGGAGATTTTGGGAACACGCATGCGGTCCCTCCGTGCCCGGAGAGGGGGGGGGGGGGGGGGTTGGGGGAGGTGGGGGGCGGGCAGGTGTGGATTGTTCCCACATGTATAGGGCCGTAGCCAGAGTTTGATGTTTCGGGGTGGGGGGCACATAGTTGTAATTGATCGACGTCCAGGGGAGGGGTCTAAAAAAGTTCAACCGATCTTGTATTTTTTTTGTGGGGGGGGGGGGGGGAGCACTCCCCCCCCCCCCCCCCCCCCCCCCCCCCCCCCCTGTGGCTACGGGCCTGCCCACATATAAGGTCTAGTTGTAAGCTTGCAATCCGTATCCATGCAAGCCACACCCATGCACCTGCCTCACCAATCCCACCATTAGCATACGCTCCGCCCACCAAGCGTAGGGTACCTAGAGAGAGCTGCAACTGCATTGCGGCAACCAGACAAGATATTACAGAGGTAAGCTTATAATTTAGTCTACGTCAGCCAAATAGAATGAAACAATTAATTTTACTTTACTAGTAAACTGTCGTATGCATGCTACCTGTTAAGACTGTTGTTGATGATGTGATTTAACTCATCAAATTGAAAAATAAGTGTACAACACGGCACATAAATCAGTATGTGGGACAAGGTTAAAGAGATGCATATAAACCCACTCCAGCTCCAGCTCACACATAGGCATAGCATCACTATCCTGGCTGTGTAGCATAAGCTGTGCTTTTGATTCTCAACATTTCGAACACCACTGTACAAAACTCAACTGATTTCACTCAAAATTGGTACTTCAGTGACAATTGATGACACCTAAATAGCAGTAAAATACATTTTTTTCAACTTAGTCTAGATCTACTGATGTTAAAAAGAATAATAAAAAATAATCTAATATAAAAATTCAAATTGTAATAGTAGGGACTAGGGGCCTATGTCTAGTGTCAAATTTGCAAATCAGCCTAATCGGTCCTATTGTGTGCAGTCTATGCAATATTGTGTGGTGTGTATATTTGTGTACCTAATAATACCTGCCTCACAGCAAGTATGCAGTGCTAGAGGTCAATACGCATTAGCATTGACTCTCTTAGACCGAAAGCTTCAGTCTCTCTAATCGTCGGTTGTTCCACTGAGACTACGTCTGGCTCCACTAGACCTCCGATTATAGAGACTGAAGTCTGGGGACCTTTTTCTGTGAGGGTACAGTGACCGAACAGAGATGAACGAAATGCTCCGAGGTTTTTCACTTTTTACGTCTTCATCATATCTAATTTTGCTGCAATACTACAGCCCCCTTTATCAATACACTTATGAAAACTTAAATCTATACTTTGACTTACGATAGCTTGCTTATTCAGCTCCAAAATAGATTTTTTGCAATCGAAACAGACTTCTCGTCAGCGGGATTGCCAGTCAGCCATCTTCAATTGAGTATAATGAATATTCATTATAAAGTTTGCGAAAGGTCGATAGACTCCACCCCCAATGACCTATCACAGATATACATGTACGTGCACGCGCGCGTAATGAACTAGCCCTGACCATAGAGAACCTGTATGATAAAGACCCCTTGATCGATGCGTACGTTAATAATACAGCTAGTCCGTTGACCCGGAAATATATCTTGCGGGTCATAGATCACAGTTCAAGTACGGCGAAAGGTACAGCTTGATGAAAATGGGACAATTCGTATAAGTAAGTCCATATATTTTATATTTGTACAAGAGTTCATCTAAAATTATGTAGTGTAAATAGAAGAACACTACCTATACCTAATTTACATCTGATTTAGAAATCAGAAAATTGGATCTAAATAAAGAAAATCGGGGGAGAAATGTCGGTAACGAAAAGCTGTTACGCTGTGGCTCTAATTTACCCCCACGGTACGAGATCTCTGGGTTGCCATCTGTATTGGGGAATGACAACAAATGTCAGTTTTATTAAAGAAATGACCCAAATCAGATGGTTATTGCTGTCTATGACTCTCTATGCTTTGCTGGAGTGCTCCAGCTCCAGCTCCAGCAAAGCCACTTATGACTTGAGACTTACAGAGACCCCAAGTTCAAAGATCAGCAATGCGTGACATTTTCATGATTCGGCGCGCAAGCGCGCGTGCGAGGGTCTCACACACCTATAGCGTTATTTCAAAATCTAGCGCGCGCGTCGGGCGTAAGAGCATTTTCAGACCCTCGAAAATGATGTCACACCTAATGCGTGATACTTGGTAGCTCAGGGGGGTGTTTCATAAAGAGTCTGTAAAGTTACGCGTGACTTTATGAATAACTTGTATATGAAGTGCCAGATAAGATGCCCAAAGTTTTTTCTGATATTTCCAATAACCTCAATTAAATTATGGCCAAAAATATACTTTGCATTAAAAATGGTTGTTATAATAAGAATGTTAATCTACATCTGCACAGTTCAACTTAATAAATAATAATCAATGATGATTGAGCATCCTATTTGGCTTTTCGTATACAAGTCGTTCGTAAAGTCATGCGTAACTTTACGAACAGCTTTATGAAACACCCCCCTGGACTTATACCATAGAGACTTGAGAGTCAATGCTAATGCGTATTGACCAGTCTAGCACTGCATTACGTGTTAAAGGTTCATTCGTTCGTGTCTCCTTAGATCAAGATAGTTATGTAAAGTTCCTTAATTAAGATTAAATTAAATAAAATTAAATTAAAGGTAAAGGTAAAGACCAGTTTTGGAAACGCCCCCCTCTCAAAAAATGAAATGGAAGCTCTTATTACCAATCATGTGAAAGAATATGTTTTGACTAATACGTAATGATACAAATTTTGCTGAGAAACCGCCTACTAATTGATATATTTGGTAAATATTATATCTATTTGGACCTGATAGATATCACGCACGTGTCACGTAGTCCCATATACATCTTTCTGTGTACAGTGCTTGTAACTTTACCAAGACTGGGGCACTGGGACAAATTTCTTATCATTTTGATGATTCCAGAACCTTGCAGTAGGTCTACAGCTACACACCATTAATTACATGTACTGTAAATCTCAGTGTATAAGGCGCACTTTTTTTCCGTCGGAAAAAATCGAAAGTCGGGGGTGCGCCTAATACACAGGTACAGGATATTTTGAGTTCTCAAAATGCTACTTTTAAATGGTTTCCGAAAATCTCTGTGTCTCAACATGAATTACATAATGCAAATAAAGAATAGGATCTACTATTTGAAGTCAAACTACGTTCCTAATTTGAAGGGAAGAGAGTTGTTTTTTTTTTTCTTTTTCAGTCTCGATAAATTATGCCCCTTCACAAAGCACTTTGCAGGCTGAAGCTCTCCTGTATCTCCAGCTCACTCACACGGGGGAAATCAAATCACCACTCAAAAACTAGCCTGTCTAAATTTCGGTTTGGACTCGGGAGGAAAATTTTCTGTCATCTTTAGTTAAAGCCAAAACAACATTGTCACTATTCTTTTTTTACTTTGACTTTTTGACTGTAAAGTCGTATTATTTTAAATTAAAAGTCCTTCCCAATTCCCTGCATCATGGCTTTGGTTTCCGAATCGGGACCGCACGCTGAAATAACAGACGATTCAGTTGGTGTCGGCAAAAAAGCATAGAGTCGATGCTAAATTGCTAATGCATATTGACCTCCAGCGCTGTATACTTGCTGAGAGGCAGCAGTTGCACACAATACACACATTGCACACTAATGCACACAATGAATACGTACATGTAGTGGCTGATCAGCAAGTTTGACGGCTGGACAGTAGACTCACAATTTGAATTTTCAAAATATTCTTTCTAACATACATGCATGCCTAGCCATAGCAATTACAGCATCTACATGTAGGCAAGTTGCAAAGACTGTAGTCTATTTCTGCTATTTTAGGTTTATCACTAAAAAGTAAAGTACCGATTTCGAGTTAACTCAGTCGAGTTTTGTACAGTGGTGTTTGAAATGTTCAGAATCAATAATAGAGGTTGTCTAAACAGTTTTTAATATTCAAAAAGCATACTAATGCTGCTATGTGTGGTATAACCCACAATCCATGATGAATAACACTTAACTTAAACGCATCGTTTAACAATGTTAAATCTGAGATGCACGGCCGTACGTGTTATCAGTGTCTGTGGTATGGTGTAATATTGAAGCCCTAAAAAAATTGTGCTTCAAAATGATCAAGAAGTGCCTCAAAAAAGTAAAAATCTTTGAGTGACTAGTTTTACCATACTTGTTTTCTCCAGTAGACTGTAGTGTTATGAAAACCGTTTGGCAAACGGTTTTAAAAATCTGTGATTCCAATAATAAATATCTTGATAATCAGACAGGCGATCGACTTGTAAAAGTCATGGGGTTCCTGACTGACCTAAAGGTTTATAATTATCATTACAGCATGAGCTAAATCCAGGATTTTTTTTCAGAATCTGAGACACAGTTACCGGATCCCTTTAAAGGTATTAAAAGCAAAGTTTTGGTAAATTTCGAAAATTTGATTGATAGTTATTCTTTAAAAACTGTATATATGGATACCCCTGTGGATGTATTATAAGCACTAGAAAATTAAGCCCCTAAAACACTTCTGCTTTCGAGAAATTGAATGATAAAAAAATTACAGGTGCTCCCGGTAAATTTCAAGGGCATTCCATGGTAGTCTGCGACCATGAAAATCTCAGAATAAGCAGTTCTCATATACATGTATCATTTTCAAATGGTAATAGCAAATCGGTCGATCGTAGTCAAGAAACATTGTTATAGAGCTAAAGTAATATCAGTCTTAGGAGGGCTCTATACAGCACAGCATAAAGTATTTATTATACAATTTCATCAATTTAGACACGATTTCAACCGCGACAACGATCATTGAATATTGTAAAATTGCATATGCTTCCAATATGTTCATTTGAACCAAATTCATGACCTCATACCAAAACTTTTAACTACCTTTAAGTCTGAACAGCTATACAGGGATCACTCGTTGTCATTGTCATTCCTGTTGATCTAGCCTCAACTTAAAGGTACTATGTCCCTTTTAAGCCAACCTCAAATTCTGTAGAACTTTGCAGGAATTTTGAATATGTCATGTATGTCCTATCTGTGAAATTTAAATGTTAGCAATGTCCTAATATTTAAATTATGCAAGGAAACCTGTTTACTTGCTAGACCTCACCGTCAGACACTATTGAGTGACTGACTGGCTTTTTTCTTCTTTGGTAATAACATACATGAAATGAGCTCTAAAGGATAAATGAGCATTTGTCTACATCAATAACCAATTTCTTGTGATGGCCAAAATTAAACTGATTGAATCTTTGCGCAGCATAAAACGTACGACCATTCGGTACAATGGTGTGAAAATCAAGACTATTACTTATTGGCTCTGTAGCTCCTAAGTCGATTTGACAACTAATAGTTGTCATTTTCCCACTTGAAGACCATTTCAAGCCCTATCTTTTTTAGGGAAGTTCTAAATTAGTATTAGCTTTCAAATGCTGTTGGAATTTAACCTTTTCATTTTGTTGGCCTGCAAATGGGACATAGTACCTTTAAGGGCTAGGTGATAATATGATGTATGAAATTGATATCACCTAGCCTTAATTGGCATCCCTAGCCAAGGCCATACCCCCATACACATACATGTAGCAGCATTACTTTCTGTGTATTAAAAACGGCTCTATTGATTCTCAACATTTCAAACACCACTGTGTCCATAGGTGTGTGTACATGGCATTTTTGTGTACCAGAGTGATGGAAAAAGAATTGTTTGTAATGAATTTGGGATAAGGGTGACGCAAAACTTTTTATTTCTCAAAAGGGTGCTGTGACTATGAAAATGTCAAAAAACGCTGCCCTAGATGATGACCCAAACCATTGTTTCATAGTATTTAGAAATTTGGGTTACACTCTGCATGGCTTATCAGGACAATTACCCCCTGGGCTATCACCCCTAGAAAATTATTCCCCCCCCCCCAGAAAACCACCCCAAGGACAATAACCCCCTGAAACATTACCCCCCCCCCCCTCTCCCCGGAAAATTACCCCCCAAGGACAACCACCCGAGGACAATTACCCACACCCCCCCCCCCCATGAAAATTCCCCTCACCTGTTTATTATAAAGGGGGAAGTCTACCCTGATAATATGTTGGTTTTGATAAAAGCAGAATTTTTTCAGGTGGATGTAATTGTCCTTGGGGGCGGGGGGTAATTGTCCTACAACCTCTGCATAGTAATATTATGTGCAACATTTTTTTTTTTTAATGTGTGAAAGTTAGCAAATTTCCAATATTTTCCTCCTTAAAAAAAAGGAGCCTTTAAACTCGTCATACATGAAGTACGAAAATTCAGTTCACTTCATTTAGTTGTTTGATGCATCAAATTAATGTATTACTACATTGGTTGCCATCAAAAAGCAAATTAGAATTTTTAGAATTTGTCAAGTTCTGTCACAAGACTGCCAGAGTGTTGTTTGTTATTAAGGTTGGAATTTCCTTTAAGCATATCAAAGATCATGATGTGGATTTCATCATACAAACTGGAGCCTAGGGCAAGGGGCTCAATGAATTAGCCTTGAATGACATTAGGGCTCCAATGCTTGTTCGCTGAATTGCATTTCATTAGGTTAAGTCAAGTTTGTGTAGTAAGTTTTTTTTTAAATTTTCAGTGTGCAAATAGGGCAAAAGGGATAAAAAAAAAAAGGTATGCAAATATGAAGAATATTCTTTTTAATACAAAAAATGATCTTCATTTGTCTACTTTAGGAAGGAGTCAAGATAAAAAAAACCCCACTAACTCTGAAGACTTGAAAGTGTTATCTTCCATCTTAAACTGTATCAAATCATTGATAAGGCTTTCCACTTTTATTCATGCGAACTTTTACCAACTGTATTGTTTTTCTATCTGTAGGTAACGGGAATGCATGACATCTATCATGGAGAAGTATGCTAGGATTATCCAAAAGTTTTTGAAGATGCATTCGTGCATCAAGGGTCTTGGTGGCATTTCTGCCAGCACCATACCAAGAACTGTCTTCCCTCAAAGTTGTCAGCGGAATCATTCTCTGAGGACGCACTCCCAAAGCTCATTGCATTGTAGGACATGCGGCACAGCTGCGAAAATCCGACTGGGAGGAAGGAGCAAGAATTTTCAAACCCTCAGTAAACTGTCGTCATCATCGTCATCAGGGTCCACAGAATTAAAACCTGCTCCACCTTCTGCGGCATCATCAATGGTATCCCCAGCATCAAAGATTACCCGATCTGGAGGCCGACAGAAGCTTGTCATCCTAGGTACTGGATGGGGTAGTTACAGTGTCCTGAAGAGTATAAACAAATCACTCTACGATGTGGTGGTCGTCAGCCCAAGGAACCACTTCCTCTTTACCCCTCTACTAGCAAGTACGACAGTGGGAACCTTAGAATTCAGGTTGGTTCTGCTCTGCTTTTATATCTTCCTTGGATAACATACACACTCCCTCTTCCCCCTCCGTTTTCCCTCCTCATCTTTGTCCTCATCCTCCCCCTTTTCCTCTGCTATTCTCCCCTCCTCTTCTCCTCCTCTTCCCCTCCTCTTCTTCCCCTCCTCCACCTCCAACTTCTCAAGCCCTTCTTCTCCTCTTCTTCCCCTCTTTTTCCCCTCTTCGTTTTCCTCCTCCACCTCCAACTTCTCAACCCCTCCTCCTCCCACTCCTCCTTGTCCTCATCCTCCCCCTCCTCTTCTTCCCCTCTTCTTCCCCTCTTCTTCCCCTCTTCTTCCCCTCCTCTTCCCCTCCTCTTCTTCCCCTCCTCCACCTCCAACTTCTCAAGCCCTTCTTCTCCTCTTCTTCCCCTCTTCTTCCCTCCTCCACCTCCAGCTTCTCAACCCCTCCTCCTCCCACTCCTTCTTGTCCTCCTCCTCCCCTCCTCTTCTTCCCCTCTTCTTCCCCTCTTTGTCTTCCTCTACCTCCAACTTCTCAACCCCTCCTCCTCCCACTCCTCCTTGTCCTCATCCTCCCCCTCCTCTTCTTCCCCCTCCTCTTCTTCCCCCTCCTCTTCTTCCCCCTCCTCTTCTTCCCCTCTTCTTCCCCACTTCTTCCCCCTCCTCTTCTTCCCCTCCTCTTCTCCCCCCTCCCCTTCTTCCCCTCTTCTTCCCCACTTCTTCCCCTCTTCTTCCCCTCTTCTTCCCCTCTTCTTCCCCACTTCTTCCCCTCTTCTTCCCCTCTTCTTCCCCTCTTCTTCCCCTCTTCTTCCCCTCCTACTCTTCCTCCTCCTTCTCCTCCTCTTTTTGTTTCTCCTCCTCGCTCCCTCTCCTGCACCTCCCCAGGTTCATGTCTTGTTGCCCAAATACAGGAACTTCTCTCAATCTGCTTTTTGCAGAAGGGTTCCAAATTCAAAGTGATTATAGTCTTCTAGTAGTTCCAATAAGTCATGCTTTTTTTCTCCCCTTGTAACATGATATATTGTGGATTTCTATATTCACAGTAAAAACTTCTGAACTAAAACTTGTGATTACTAGTGCAAGATTTTGCTTTGTCTCTTCTTTCTGTAGGAGTATCATCGAGCCAGTTAGGAACACAGGGTTTCGACAGAGTGACCATTTTCATCTTGCTGAGGCTGTGCGGTTGGATACAAAGAATAAGGTAATCTCACTGGCATGTTTGAAGGAGGGGCAATGGGGGGGGGGGGGGGGGGGGGGGGGGGGGGAGCTCTCTTCGGTACACATATTATACGTGCAATGTGCTCTATGTACGTACATGTTCGAAAGGTTTTTCTAGCTTCTTTGGTTTTTGTTACTGCAGCAACAAAAAACAGGAGAAAGATACTCCAAATCATATCAATGACCAGATTGAGTTAAACAATGAAAGGCCCTTCTCAAAACTTTGAGAAAATGACAGACTTAACTTAGAATATATATATATATATATATATATATATAATAGCTCTATACAGAGCGAATTTATTTTCCATTTCTTTTTCACATAATATAAACAATAACAAAACAATAATAAACGTAATGATATAACAGAAATAAGCATACCCCATCAAAACGAAAATATGTCCGTTGGTCATTCAACAAGCCAACGAACACTTCATTATAGTCCCGTCTGTTAGTATTTTAGACAATTTTTCGCACTTGAAAAAAGACACAACCATTCAGAAAGTTGACATTATTATTTCTATGCTTTTACTTGCTCTTGCCCATCACACATCCAAATATCTTTTTTTCAGTTAGGATGTTTAATATCATTGTAATACGTTGTACGTTCCACTATTGAAATCGCTTAAAAATGGTGATAAATCACTGTAATTACTGTGGGAAAATAAAGTACACACACACACACACAGTTATTACCGCCATGCACATTGCAGCCACGCAAAATATACCGATAGGGACTTAGTCACCAAACTATCCCGGAGGACATTTAAAAAAATGAAGCTTGAACGTAACCCGGCTATTTTTAATATATGGCTGATTGCAGTCAGTGGACAAACACAAACTTTTTGCTTGAGTAAGCTAGCTGCTATGTTTCACAGAATCCACGCTGTAGTATAGTGTAACAAAATCAACATTTAAAGCTTAATAGAGATTGTTAGGAAAAACATGCTTTACATATTAGTGGGTTCATGAGCTATTGTTTATCCCATACACAAGACATTGCCAATTCAGAGCAATGTTTTTGTAAAAGAAAGAGATTTGAGTTGGTAAGGACGAAGATTATATTCAAGCCAGTACAAACGTGTTATTATTTTAGAAGGGGAGTATTGTATTTCTCCATCATTCGTAAACAGTACTACTATTGTTATATTGGTTCATTCACTTTACTCTCAGTCTAAGTGTTCAGGGTTCGATCCAAGGAAGGCACTAGAGTCCTTTGTCAAGATTTTACTCATGATGGGATTCAGAATTGTATTTAAAATTCTTGCTGTGGATAAGTCATATAATTGTCTTGTTATGTTTTCTGCTGAAAGCCGGAGGACCGTATCTGCTCATAGACTTTTTCTTTATAGAGTCTTGACGCCCTTCTGGCTTTCAGCACACGACACCATGTTTTTGTCTTATGTTTTACATATTACATGTTACACCAATGGAAAACTAATTTCTGGACAAATTATGGACACTAAAATCTTAAATCTTGAATCTTAAAGACATTAATCCACATTTGCCACTCTCTACCGAAGTGTAAATAGGTACTTGGCAATTACCGGGTTAATAAGGATTGCAGGGTCCATAGGAAGAGCGGTATTATAATACTGATGTGGCTACCCTAGGTAATCAAGACCAAATTTTTTCTTTTTTCATTTCCCTTTGTTGCCAGATTCTGACGTGTCAGAGTGCCGTGGATCGCAGTTCTCAGTATGATCTGGAATATGACAAACTGGTGATTGGTGTCGGGGCCATCAGCAACACCTTCGGGGTTCCAGGGGTGTCTGAACATGCACTCTTTCTGAAGGTAAATGTCAAAGGTCATGGACAAGAATGACTAGCAAAATTTCAGACTGACCAGATTTTCAAATTTGAGACCGATTCTTCCCAGAACATCTGGACAGAGTCTCACAAAAGCATCACAAGTACAAGTATTCTAACTTCCCTTTGAATTTAATTATATACCATTTGTCCTATTTAGATGTCGGCAAGCTCTCATGAGATGCTGCTGCCCTACTGAAGAACTGTTACAAACTAGCATCTAATGGTCTTATCCATCTTCCACTCCCAAATTGTTATCTAGGTCAAATGACGAGCAAGCTTCTAGATCACCAACATCAAGTTTTGTTAAAGAATTTATTATAAATCTGTGTACACATTTGTAGTATTTTTATTTAGTTTAACCCCTTTCCATCCATGACATTCTCCAGATTTAACAAAGAAGCGAATATCTGTTTCGATTTATAGTGACATTTGAAGTTACTTTATAAACAACATTTTCAATATACTATCTCTGATTTTCTAATTTTGATGTATGTACTAGTGAAACCACATGAGAAAGGTTTAAAAACTGTGAAAAATATTTTCCAATGTTAGATTGTCGTGTCTTCTGTTGCAGGAAGTAGCTGATGCTAGAGCCATCAGGAACCGCATCCTAAGCAACTTTGAGTTGGCGCTCCATCCCAACATCACAGAGGAGGATAAGAGGAGGCTACTCCGCATCGTTATTGTCGGTGGCGGACCGACTGGTGTGGAGTTTGGTGCCGAGCTGCATGACTTTGTTCGAGAGGTGAGTTTGCCTTTTGGGGAGTTTCCTTGAGACAACTACATCCTAAATGATCACTCACTTTGGACAGCTACAGCCTGGGCAGTCAACAATCTAGGACAGTTACGTCCAAAATATTCACAAACATTTGACAACTATGTTTAATACGTTAAAGCTACAGAGAAAGTTTTTGTTTTTCATTATGACAAGCCGTTGGCAATTATCCATCAATTTCTCATTCAGAGGACTGCTAGTATCCGCTGAACTGTCGCCGAGCTTGGAAAAATTACTCACCTCGACAACTACCACCCTGACAATATCCACTCAGACCTCAACTCTCTATATATAACCACAAACATTGAACAATCTTCCGTCAGGATAACTATCACCCTGTCAATTGTTCAACCTGAAAATTATTCTTTGGGCAATCCAATCACCCATTGGGAAACAGCAACCCGAAGAGACAACTACTAGTATCCTCTTGGTGATTACCTGCTTTGACAATCTATGACAATTAACCATTTAAGACAATGTCTCATTAGGTCAGCTAACACCTATAAACAACTATTCTATGGACAGGCACTCACTTTGGACAATTCCCACCACCAGGAAAACAGCTCAAAGAGACAATTATTCTGTTGGCAGTTAATACCTTCTTGACAATCCAGGACAATTATCCTTTGGACAATCACTTACTTTGGACAATCACTTACTTTGGATGATCACTTACTTTGGATGATCTCTCATGAGAACAACCACCCTCAAAGACAACAATTAACCTTCTGAACAGACAAGTGGTGTAGCTAATCATCTACTGCAAAGCCAATCAGCCTGACTTTTGTTTTTGTCTTTTGCAGGATGTCTCCAGACTGTACAAGGAAGAGCAGAAGTTTGTCCAGGTGTCCTTGATAGAGGGTCGTAAGGTCTTGGGTGCCTTCAACCAGAAGCTACAGCAGTATGCAGTGAAGAAGATCAGAGCTAGAAAACAGATGGAACTCATAGAGGCCAATGTCAATAGTGAGTTGTAGGAGAGGTAGCAAAACAGATGTTTCAAAAAAAAAAAATTTTTTTTTTTGGGGGGGGGGTTGGGGCAGGGGTGTTTGCCCTTGAATATCATTCATACAGCAACAAAAAAAAAGGATTCTGCTTCCATGCCGTATGTTCCTCCAAAGAATTTGCTCATTGGGTTTAGAATATTTATGGTTTTCTTCTTGGAAATGAATTAAGTGTAGAGGTGTTGTGTTCTAGGGGATACGTCGCCGAACTGTGGATCGCATGGATTGCAGTTTGACTCCCACTGCGGCACTAATGTCCTTTGGCAAGACATTAATCTACAATTGTCACTCTCCGACAAGGTTTTAAATGGGTACCCGGTAGGATGCGAACCTTAATGTTATTGGATTGGTATGTGTGCGCTTGTAAACTGGGGCCTGGCCAGAATACTCCTGTCACTAAAACTTACATTACACATTAAAGATCAATTGTGTTTTCAGCGTGGATTTAAATTGATCCAACTGAGTGATCTTCCTTGAGTTCTGTGGAAGTCTCTTCCTGGTGCTACATTTTATCATCTGTAAAAAGGAGATTTTAGATAGTTACATTTATTTGGCAATCATTGTCCGTTCTGCTACCTTCCTTACTTTCTATGTAGATAAATTTTAGACATCAGCTTGCATACTGGTTAACTGTATTGTACATAGAGTTTTCAGAGTTACACCATGTAATCCTTTCAAAGGAATAATTGCCTGTATAGAATGGCGAACCACCGGAGAACGATCGTCGACCACCGACTTCGAGAGCGACAACAAAGGCAAGAAACATCATTGTAAAGTTTAGCAACTACGGTGCCCGCGAGAGAATTTACAGCGCACGGAAACGTCTGAAGGATTCTCCAGCAATTATCCGCGTGTACATCAATGAAAACCTGACGAAAATCAGATCGAAGCTGTTGTGGAAAATCAGAAAAGCAACAAAAAATACAGAACATCGAGTATGGACACAGGACGGTGTAATCATCGTCAACAAACCCGGTGGTGGACGCATCAAGGTAACCCGTGAAAGTCATTTTGCTAGATTATCTGAACTAAACTTTCATGAATGATTTCGGACATTTTGAACTGTGATGCATAAAGCTTTATCTTAATTTTCTACTTTTGCTCGTTAAATAATATTATTGATTTCATGTATGTTCGTTTTGATACTGCATTCTATTTAAAATGCGCTGTAATATTTGTTATAAGTGCACAAAAAAGAATCAATCTATATATGCTTGTTCATGTGGAAGTATATGTCATGTAACATGTGCTAAAGCAGAATCATATCCATTACCCTGGATATGCCAACCTTGTTTAAGTAATGCCATACCTTTTAATCACATAGTTGATGATTTAGACTTTAAGTTCGCTATTCATACCTTTTTTGAAATAGACCACCCTTCATTTCATAATGGAAGTCACGATGATTTACAATTTGATATTTTCTCCCTGAATGAAGTGATGAGTTCCCGGTTAGATGACCATATTTCTGATTGTAATTATTATTTCAATGACACCTTCAATGTTAAAATTAATAATCGAAAATCAGAAGGTCAATTTTCATTGTTCCACTTGAATGCTCGTAGTCTTATATCAAAGTTTTCTCATGTTCAAGATTACATACATACACTTCACCACGATTTCACAATATACGCATTTACGGAAACCTGGTTTAAGGGAGACCCACATTCATTTTATAATTTGCCTAATTACAAACTTATTCAAAAACATAGAATTGGTCGTGTAGGCGGGGGTGTGTGTATGTACGTCAGGGACAATGTCACCTTCAAACCAAGGACGGATTTGGATTTTTGTACTTCAACTATAGATACTGTTTTTATTGAAATCGTAAAGGAAGGGAAGAATTTAATCGTTGGAACTGTATACAAATCTCCCGATACTTGTGGTGCAGAGTTTAATGACCATCTTGAAGAATGTCTTGGTAAAGTGAACAAAGAGAATAAACAATGTTATATTGCTGGAGACTTTAACTTTGATTTACTTAGTTACGCCCTTCATTCAGATACCAATGCATTTATCGATACAATGTACTCCTCCTCTTTTCTCCCACTTATCACGAAACCAACCCGTGTAACTACTAACTCTTCTACTTGTATTGACAACATCTTTACAAATGTTTTGAATAAGCCAATCCTGCCTGGTATTTTGTATTCAGATGTGTCTGATCACTTTCCAATCTTTCAAGTAACGAACTCTTTACCACCAAATTACCACACCCACTTGAATAGGAACAATGCGAGTCAAGTTAAACTCCGAATAGACTTTAACTCATTGTGTGAAGATTTAGCATTGTATGATTGGTCTTTGGTAACATCCAAAACCAATGTCAACGAAGCTTACGATACCTTTATTCAAGATTTTAAACAGATGATTTCAAAGCATTCGAAAACAATACCTGGTAAGGATAGACGTAGATCATCCAAAAAACCATGGATTACGAAAGGCATTCTCAAATCCATTGGTAGAAAGGAACGCTTGTATAAGCGGTATTTAAAACTGAAAAACCCCTCCGTGAAAAAAAAGTACACATCTTTCAGAAATAGGCTTACTCACATTATACGTGTCTCCAAAAAGAACTACTTTGCTGAAAAGCTTGAATCAAATCGCCATGATTTAAAGAACACTTGGAAAACTCTGAATAACCTGATTGGTAAAGATAATAAATCGAAATTACCCTCATTCATTCGTAAAGATGGTGTAAGGCTTACTGAACCAAAAGCAATTGCAAATGCATTTAACTCGTTTTTCGTTAATGCTGGTTGTTTTGATGATCCCCAGACCACCGGATGCTTTCGTGACTATTTGAAAACCAGCGTAACGCATTCTTTGTTTCTTTCACCAACAGATCGAAATGAGATCTTGAAGTTATCTTCTTCCTTGAAAAATAAACACTCATGTGGGGTGGATGATATGTCACCATACGTTATAAAGAAGTTAATTTCCTATATTGTTGAACCTTTAACCCATGTGTTTAATTTATCATTTATGTCTGGAACATTTCCTGATTCAATGAAAGTTTCAAAAGTCATACCTTTATTTAAGAAAGGTGATATACATGATTTATCGAACTATCGCCCAATATCATTGCTTTCGACTTTTTCCAAGATTTTAGAAAGACTAATGTACAATCGATTATCTACTTTCCTTCATAAGCATTCAGTTATTTTTTCGGAACAGTTTGGGTTTCGAAAATGTTATTCAACAGAGTCAGCTTTACTTTTTGCATCCGAACTTTTGTACAAATTTTATGAAAAAAAAGAGATAGCTTTAGGAGTGTATGTAGACCTTAGCAAGGCATTCGATTGTTTGGATCACAAAATCTTATTAAGAAAATTAAGTTTTTATGGAATTAGAGGCATTCCATTGGAATGGTTCCAAAGTTATCTGTCTAATAGAACACAATTTGTAAATTATAATGAATCTGACTCTGAATTGCTATTAATGAAGTAAGGTGTTCCTCAAGGTAGTATCTTGGGCCCGTTATTATTTTTGCTCTTCATAAATGACATTGTTGAGTCTTCAAGGAAATAACATTATGTACTGTATGCCGATGACACAAACATCTTCTATTCTGGTAAAAATTTGAAAGACTTAATTTTCGAAGCCAATGTTGAACTTCAAAAGGTTGCTAGCTGGTTTTCATCAAATAAATTAAAAATCAATCAGACCAAAACAAAGTTCATGATATTTAACTTTGGTAAAAAAAATGATACTTTAATTGAAAATGTTAATCTGACAATAGATGGTAACTGTATTGACCAGGTACAATTTGCCAATTTTTTAGGAGTTGCCATTGACAACAAACTTACATGGGCAAAACACATTGAATTAATTTCCAGGAAGATTCGGTCCCAAATCGGTGTAATGAATAAGCTCAAAAGTTTTCTACCATCCTCTACCATGCTTTCTCTTTACTACACTCTCATATATCCTTACTTAACGTACTGTAATTTAGTTTGGGCGAGAACGTCTAATAATTTATTAAAGCCCCTTATCATACTTCAAAAGCGGGCTGTTCGGTTGTGCTGCAATGCTTCATTCAGGGCGCACACCTCTTCATTATTTAAATCCTTAAATTTACTCAAACTTCCAGATATTCTTTCTCAACGGACTTTATTATTTATGTACAAACTCCAAAATAATTTGCTACCAGTAACGTTTTATGACAGTTTTCATTTGAACTCGGATGTCCACTCCTTTAATACAAGAAAAAAAAATGACTTCCATCTACCAAAATTCACTAACTCATTTTTGCAAAATAAATCAATTAGATATCAAGGTCCTCACAAATGGAACTCCATGTCAAGTTATTTAAAGGGTATTAAGAACCAGAACGCATTTAAACTTAAACTGAAAAGAACAATACTTGCCACTTATTGATTTATTGAAATACATAATTGATTCATATATTTTGTTAGCATGAAACATTATTATTATTGTTTTGTATCGTATTTCATCTTATTGTATTGTATAGTATCTGTATGTTTTTATGTTTGGGGTTGCTTGTTTACAAGTTTTTAACTTATTTTAGCAATCCCGGTATTTATTTATAATGATTTCATTTGTAATGATTTCATTTTGATGTTTTTATCTTTTGCCGAATAAATGTGAATTTGAATTGAATTGAATTGAATTGAATTGAATTGAATTGAATTGAGCTAGTACACTGTATATAATACGTTTATGACTGATTTTTGTTATTTGATTTTTCTTTTCCCATAAAGGTGTGGAGGCGAACGGTGTGACCTTGACCGATGGTAGAGTTATCCCTTGTGGTCTGGTAGTATGGTCAACTGGACTTGCTCCACGGTCAGTCAGCAGATAACCTGCCTTTAATACTTAAAGATAAAGTTGAGTTCTGGTCATGGGATTGCATTGTGAAAGGAAAGTTGTGGAATCGATCAGAAAAGGTTGATCATCTAGCATAAAAGTATTGGTGTGTACTGCAAGGTTCTAGAATCATCAAAATGATAAGAAATTTGGCCCAGTCTTGGTAAAGTTACAAGCACTGTACACAGAAGATGTATATAGGGCTACACGAACATGGCATAAAAATCTGTCCCAATTTTTATGTTGTTACATGCCATATTTAGAGTGTGAAAGCATTTGAAGAGCCATGCTTTTCAGGGAACATTTTTTATCTGATGTTCTTCCACACTTGCATAATAACAATGATAATGCTCACATATTGTTTTTCACCTCTTCCCAGAACTCAACCTTCTCTTTAATCTCTGCATTGGTAGAATTTGTCTAACTTTTAAGATTAATCAAAAAACTATTACCGGTATATGATTATTGCATGCACCGGCATTTAATGTACCAAAAATATATGAACCAACAAATTCAGAATTTCCTGGGTGATGTTATATTTCACTGTTTATGAACTCTTTTCTTGCCTAGAATCAGCATTTTCAAACATGTTTCAGGCAAATTTGCATGTTGATAAATGCAAGTACATTTTCATACCTCTTTAGATATATGTATATATTGAAACGCCTATAAAGATATGTTTTGAATGTGAGAATGAGCCAGAATCACATTTCTGAGAGATTATATATTTCGGGCCTTCCCAGGCTAATTTCCAGTTCAGAGAAGTAGCGCGATCCATGTGCTGTGTCCACTGACGTGTATAAGCGTTGACCTCCAAGCAACTCTCTGCTTCCCAGGTCAAACGGCACAAAGCAGCTGCGCAGAGACAAGGCCTTCATTTCGAATCGTGAGGAGTTGATAAACGCAACATCCCGCAAGTCACGTTCGTATAATGTGTTTCGATATGTACATATAGAAACGCTGTTTCTGAGTAGCAAGAGTTGTTAAACGCACCTTCAAGGCCAAAGGGGACTTCTAAATTTTGAGGCGAATATAGTTTTGGTTATATTGAACAACGTTTTACACTATATCTTTAGTGTGAAATTTGTCTATGGTTTCAGAATTTAAAAAATTCAATTGGTAACAAGAAAAAAAAGAAATCATTTAAAATGATTGTTATGGAATACAGTTTTGAGAAATGCATACCATGATATATCCCTAAGTGTTAAATTATTATATTGGTTTAAAGAATTTAATTAGGTGGTCTGTCGACAGATCACCTATTGATTTCGCTAGAATTTTCTTTCTTTATTTCTTTATTCTTTATTTTTATTTCTTCCGTACACTGTTTTGTCCACACGTTTACTCGAAATCGACATGGTCAATTTCCTTCAAATTTCTGTCAGTCATGAAACCCTATGATTTCAAGTCTAATTAACTTTTTCAAGTTCATGGGGTCATCGTGACGTCATCCAGGCGCCATTTTGTAAAAATCAGGTCATTATCATATCTCGATAACGAGTAATCAAAAATAAACCATATTTAGTATACATCAATTTCAGGTCAAAGGTCAACTAAAAATGTCAACAAATTTTGCGCGCGCACCTCGACGCGCACGTACGCGCGCATTAAAATTTTAAAATGCTCAAATTCGTTCCAAATTAATTTTGCATACGTTTCAGGCCATTTTAAGCATTTTGCAAAAAAACGCGCACACGCACATACGTGCGCGTTTTCGCGCGTACTTGCATTTTGCAACGTAGAATCGCCAATTTTTTTCTTTCATCTTATTTGGCACATTTTTTCAAGCATTTTGATACCTTGTTTACCTTTTTCTGACCATTAATAACGGAATGAGCGTCCGTTAAGATACGCATCCGTGCGTGCGAGCTCTTGTAATACATAACATACATGTGCAAAAACATGCCTATACAAAATTCATTGTAACTCTTCAGGATGGATAGATACCCCCCAATTTCTTTCATATTTAAATAGGTTATGAGTTGGAGATATGATTTCATGTCTCATTTGACCCTCAATTAACTCATGACGTCATCATAATGGCCTCCAAACTCAAAATTTCAATTTGCATATTATGACGTCAGCAGATTTTTGAAAAATTGATTGTATCTCTGTAAATATTGATCAATTTTCTTTCAAATTATGATATGTTCTACCTGAGAATATTCTCTACAAATGCAGTAACCACAATATTTCATTTTGACAATGGTATCATGGCGTATTTTTGCGATTAAAGGAGGCATGTCAATTTTTCACATTTTGCGTGTATTCTCTATGGGACATGACTTTTTCTCAAAACTGGATTCTACATTCTCGTCTTTCGTGAGCAATATCTCCGTCGTTTTATCTTTGTTTACGCTGAGCTTTGAGTATGTTGTAGCTGAGACAATATGCTATCGTAATTGTGCCCTTTATTTTTCGATCAGATGCCGGGATCATGCTCATATTTCACTTACAAAGTGGGATTTGAGAATTCTATTTTCCGTTTACGTGTAATCTCTATAGAAAATGTTTTGGTATATCAGTAACGCAATTGACTTCCGACCTCGAGGTCCCTGGTTCGAGTTCGGGCGTCTCCAACAATTTTTTTTCTTCACTTTTTTTTCTTTTTGACCTTTCAATGTACCATCTCCTTTGAATATTAAAACACATACAATCGCAAATAATGTAATAAACAACCATATTTACTTTATTATTACCCTATTATCACTTGATCCATTACTTTTTGCATGTAATCCTTATGGGAGATGACTTTTTCTCAAATCTGAATTCTACATTCTTGTCTTTTGCGAGCAATATCGTCGTTATTTCGGCTTGATTTTTGTTGATTTTTTAATATGTTGTAGCTGAGACTATATACTATCTCAATGTTCTCTCATTCTTTTCAGTCTGATGTCATCATGGTCTGTTGATGATAATCATCAACATCATCATCATCATCATCATATTCGACATCACCATTACTATCAAGATCATCATCATCATGATCATCATGATGATCATCATTGTTTACATGTCTATATACCTTGAAGGCAGACCACCTTATTCGTCCTCGTGACGAATTAAATTCTAGTCTTTATTTTTATTTCTTCCGTACACTTTTTTGTACGCACGTTCACTCGAAATCGACATGGTCAATTTCCTTCAAATTTCTGTCAGTCATCAAGCCCTATGATTTCAAGTCAAATCAACTTTTTCAAGGTCATTAGGTCACCGTGACGTCATCCAGGCGCCATTTTGTAAAAATCAGGTCATTATCATATCTCGATAACGAGTAATCAAAAATAAACCATATTTAGTATACATCAACTTCAGGTCAAAGGTCAACTAAAAATGTCAACAAATTCCGCACGCGCACCTCGACGCGCACGTACGCGCGCATCAAAATTGTATAATGCTCCGATTCGTTTAAAATTAATTTTGCATACGTTTCAGGCCATTTTAAGCATTTTGCAAAAAAACGCGCACACGCGCATGCGCGCTCGTTTTCGCGCGTACATGCATTTTGCAACGTAGAATCGCCAATTTTTTTCTGTCATCATATTTTGCACATTTTTTCAAGCATTTTGATACCTTGTTCACCTTTTTCTGACCATTAATAACGGAATGAGCGTCCGTTAAAGGTAAAGACCAGTATTGGCAACGCCCCAATTTCAAAAAATGAAATGGAAGCTCTCATTACCAATCATGTGAAAGAATATGTTTTGACTAATACATGATGATAAAAAATTTGCCGGGAAACCGCCTACTAATTCATATATTTGGTAAATTTATTTCTCTCATGGTCTGGTGAGAGAGATAGGGTAGTCCCATATACATCTTTCTGTGTATAGGGCTTGTAACTTTACGAAGAATGGGCCAATTTCTTATCATTTTGATGATTCCAGAACCTTGCAGATGCTAGATGCTAGATGATCAACCTTTTCTGATCGATTCCACAACGTTTCTTTCACAATGCAATCGCATGACCATTACTGGTCTTTACCTTTAAGATACGCATCCGTGCGTGCGAGCTCTTGTAATACATAACATACATGTGCAAAAACATGCCTATACAAAATTCATTGTAACTCTTCAGAATGGACAGATACCCCCAATTTTCTTTCATATTTAGATAGATTATGAGTCGGAGATATGATTTCATGTCTCATTTGACCCTCAATTAACTCATGACGTCATCATAATGGCCTCCGAACTCAAAATTTCAATTTGCATATTATGACGTCAGCAGATTTTTGAAAAATTGATTGTATCTCTGTAAATATTGACCAATTTTCTTTCAAATTTTGATATGTTCTACCTGAGAATATTCTCTACAAATGCAGTATCCACGATATTTCATTTTGACAATGGTATCATGGCGTATTTTTGCGATTAAAGGAGGCATGTCAATTTTTTACATTTTGCGTGTATTCTCTATGGGACATGACTTTTTCTCAAAACTGGATTCTACATTCTCGTCTTTCGCGAGCAATATCTCCGTCGTTTTATCTTTGTTTACGCTGAGCTTTGAGTATGTTGTAGCTGAGACAATAAGCTATCACAAGTGTGCCCTTTATTTTTCGATCAGATGCCGGGATCATGCTCATATTTCACTTCCAAAGTGGGATTTGAGAATTCCATTTTCCGTTTACGTGTAATCTCTATGGGAAATGTTTTGGTATATCGGTAACGCACTTGACTTCCGACCTCGAGGTCCCTGGTTTGAGTCCGGGCGTCTCCAACAATTTGTTTTCTTCACTTTTTTTTCTTTTTGACCTTTCACTGTACCATCTCCTTTGCTCATCAAAGCACGTAGAATCGCTAATAATGTAATAAACAACTATATTTACTTTATTATTACCCTATTATCACTTGATCCAATATTTTTTGCGTGTAATCCTTATGGGAGATGACTTTTTCTCAAATCTGGATTCTACATTCTTGTCTTTTGCGAGCAATATCGCCGTTATTTCGGCTTGATTTTTATTGATTTTTGAGTATGTTGTAGCTGAGACTATATACTTTTTAAAATGTTCTCTCATTTTTTTCAGTCTGATGTCATCATGGTCTGTTGATGATATCATCAAGATCATCATCATCATGATCATCATCATGATCATCATTGTTTACATGTGTCTATATAACTTCTCCCTTTCTCAATATAGTAAATATTATAATCTATCATGACTTGAAGACAGACCACCTTAATCGTCCTCGTGACGATTTAAATTCTAGTTTCAAATTGAATTCGTAACAAAAAACAATAAAGGCCCCCAAAATACGTGTGTGTTTTTTGGTGCTCAGGGGGAGGGGGGGGGGGCTGTTGAATAGAAATATAATAAGAGCTCTGTATCCTGCCGCCCCCCCCCCCCCCTTGCCCCTCCATAGAGCCCATATTATTGTCATTATTTGTGAAATCTGTTTTATTGGTGTTTCAGATCCTTCACAGAAACCCTTGACCTTCCCAAGAATGCGCAAGGTCAGCTAGAGACCGACGAGAGGTTACGGATAGCGGCAGTAGAGGACAGCAGTGTCTATGCCCTGGGAGATTGTGCTGATATAATAGGCAATCCTCTCCCATGCACAGGCCAGGTAAAATAGCTACCTTTTTCGATTGAAATTTAACTTCTTTTTTTCTTCATTGTACAAGAAATCATGTGTTAATTGCAAGATATGGGCAAGATACATGTATAACAATTAAAGATGGTTTTGATCTGAATTATAAGTTATTAGAACCATTGTTCATATATGCTTGATAGAAATTAGATAAAGTGTTTAAGAATGCTTAATTCAAACTTCTGTATATTCATGCATCTCCAGCATAAAGAACAATGGATAATTAATTTGCCCATATTCATGCATCTCCAGCATAAAGAACAATGGATAATTATTTTGCGTAATGGCTCTGTAATGATTCTGTTTTCGGAGCAGACGTAAGGATGAACAAGCAATTTTGTCCAAGATTTGCTTTTTCTTTCTCTTCTTCAAACTTCATTTGGTATTTTTCTCAAACATTTCCTTCAAACATAATACTCCTTCTATACCTTTCGTATTGTCTTACCAAAAAAGAAAAAAATAGGTTATTAATGGTTTTGAATTTTCGAAGTGCAATTGATTAAAGCAAGTATTGGCAACCATATGATATCCCTTGGAGCTGTATCGTAAATATCCGTGTATAAGACGCACCTGTGTATAAGAAGCACCCTTTTTTTTCCCGACTCTGTAGGCAGCAAGCCACATCCGTGTTAAAAAATGCACGCGAGGAAGGACCTTTATTTTACTGCGAGGTGCAGTTGAAGGCGCCGATTTGTTCTTGCGAACTCACAAATAATAGTAACAATGTCATTTTTAAAACTAAAGATAACAGACAAATTATCGTGTAAGTTCAAACGTAAATCCGGCCATACAGGTAGTGTTGTTGTAGTTCGAACCTACATTTCGATGCTGTGCCATCACTATAACCCAGGTGACAAACAGTGAGAGTACATTACTGCTCCAACTTTGTAACCTGGATTACAGATTATATAATCTAGTATAGTTTTACTGTGCCACTTCGAATAACTTCCTACAGTATCTTACTGTGACTGTATTGGTGCGAGTGGTGAGTCAACACACCTTGTATGACCGAGCTGAGAGACATTGCCAGGCACAGTGCTGGTGGAGGGGGCATAAATTGACACTTAACTTGCAATTTTTTTCGGCGGGAAAAAAGTGTGTCTTATACACAGAGAATTGCGTATACACTAACAAAATTATCCCCTGGACTACTTTCCCTAGTCCCCAGACAACTACTATCTTATCCTAAGGGGACATTTGGCCCAGTAGATCCTGTTAATATGTTGTGTTGATATATATGTGGTCTGAAATGTATTGCTAGGTTGCAGAGAAACAAGGTCGTTACCTGGCCAAGCTGTTGGCTCATCGTGGACCAGTGGAAGATGTTCATCCATACGTCTACAAAGGCTTTGGAATGTTAGCCTATCTGGGAGACTACCAGGCCCTGACCGAGACGCCTGCTCTCAAGACACAAGGTTTGTTGCTCTGAGTCTGAGGGAGTGCAGTGCTCAAGGTGCTCTGACATGAGCCAGGCTTTTAAGTGAATCAGATTCTGAAACAAAATCCTGGATTTAGCTCATGCTGCAATGATAATTATAAACCTTTAAGTCGGTCAGGAACCTCATGACTTTTACAAGCCGATCGCCTGTCTGATTTTCAAGATATTTATGATCTGAAATCGGAACCAAATTTTGCGTTTTCCTAACGGTTTTCACAACACTACAGTCTAATTGGGGAAAACAAGTATGGTAAAATGGGTAACTCACAGATATTTACTATTTTGAGGCACTTCTTGATCATTTTGAAGCGCAATTTTTGTTTAGGGCTTCAATATTAGACCATATCACAGACACTGGTAACACGTAGGGTGTTGCATCTCAGATTTAACATTGTTAAACCATGCCCTTAAAGGGGATCTATATCTTTTTAAAAGAATTTCTATACAGTGAGTGTAAAATTATGAAAGAAACCTTATCTGGCATTCCGTGGATGATTAATTAAGAAGTATGAAGAATTCTACACCATAACCCGGTGCAAATTGACAAAGGCATACAACACCTCTAGTGCCACCAGAACTAATGAACGTTTTAGAATAAATTTTTAGTTTATTTTCACAATTTTGTTGTTATATATCAGGACTACCAGTAAAACAATTTCCTGGGAGCAACATTCACAATACGCATACATGTACTTGTATTAGATTTAGAACAGTGTATGCGCTGTGAAGGTGGCATGATAGTGGTTCATTCACTTTACCCTCAATCCAAGGGTCAAGGGTTCAAATCCAAGCCTGGCACTAACGTCCATTGGCAAGACATTAGTATGCAATTGTCCCCCTCCACCCTGGTGTAAATGGGTACCTGCTATGTCAGAGGGTTTTATATTAGACTGCCAGCTATGACGGAGGTAATAATGTTGAGAGCACCAGGAGCGTCACAGTTTAGTGTGACAGACAATTATGCTATTTGACAAGCCATCATCATCATCATCATCATCATCATCATCATCATCTTCATCATCATCATCATCATCATCATCTTCATCATCATCATCATCATCATTATCATCATCATCTTCATTATCTTACAGATAATCTAGGTTTCCTTAATCCAAATATACAATGTAACTGATATTCAAAAGCAGGATATGCCAATATTCCTGTAGCATAGAACATGTTTAATGTACGTTTATTTCTCCCTTTCTCTTCATAATCAGGATTCAGTTCATGGCTCCTGTGGCGGTCAGCTTACCTGACGCGTCTCGGCAGCTGGCGGCTCCGTATGCAGGTTCCTGTTGATTGGACCAAGACCCTCCTCTTCGGCAGGGACATCTCAAGGTTCTAGACCAAGCACAGAGGTCTAGGAACCATAGGCCTGTATTAGTGGTCTAGCTCTTGTAGGCTCTGTGTATGTAGCTTGGATGGATGGTTGTTTCCATCTTTCCTTTCCTCATAGCATGAGAGCTGTTGAGGCAACAATGAAATCAACCTTGAGACACACTTTCTCCATGGCTTTCTGTCTTCAGCTCTGAACAAATATATATATATCTCACGATAGCTCAGTTGGTAGAGCAGTGGTCTCGTAATCCGACGACCCGAGTTCGAAACCAAGGCGACGCGCCAGTGCTCTTTGGTAAGGCATTAATTCTCATTATTAGGTCTCTTGGAGAGGACCTTAAGCCGTTAGTCCTCTGGTTGCTTACTAACAAGCATTTATGCTTTCTTAGCAGTCAGGTAAAATAACCACCACTACCTCATCCATTTCTTGGAAAAAGGTAAAGAAAAATAATTCTAAGTTTATAGCCAACAGTGCATACTAGCAGAGGTCTTTGAAACTGTCATGTATTATAAGAACCAGCTTTAAGATTGAATGTGCAATGTATGTGTTTGTTTTTTAAACTGTGAATAGAGATTTCCAATAGACCAACATTTATATTATGTCGGTTTGATGTTGTTGTTTTCATGGCATTAATATTGTAGGGTTCTAGGACAACTACCCCCTAGAGCAACTACTCTCTAGGACGACTTGCCCCCGGGACAACTACCCCCCGGGACAACTACCTTCTAGACAACTGCCCCCTATGACAACCATCCTCTAGGATAACTACCCCCGGAACAAGTAACCTAGGGGGTAGATGTCCATGGGGTAGTTGTACTAGGAGGTAGTTGTCCGGGGTGGAGTTGTCCTAGGGGGTAGTTGTCCTAGGGGGTAGTTGTCCAGGGGTAGACATCCTAGAGGGTGGTTGCCCTAGGGGTAGTCGTCCAAAGGGGTAGTTGTCCTAGGGGGTAGTTGACTGGGTGGTGGTTATCCGGGGGATGGATGTCCAGGGGGTAGGTGTCCGGATACGATTTTGGAGTACTTTCATGCCCAAAAAAGTGAATATGTCAATAGATAGTAGAGTACATCATTATATTTAATAGTTTATTTGATTGTGAATAGAAATACATCAATCACTTTGTTCCACAAGGTCTACAATAAGTATAGTATCTCAACGATTCGACTATGACACCTTGGCCTCTATGACACATGTACACGTCTACTTGTTCACTACATGTACTTATTGTTGGTTGTAATCTTTTTATTGCTAGGGTCCCATTAAACCAAAAATATCCATAAATTGTTAAGAACAGCAAATTAAGGGGATGAGAAACCTAAATTGCTCATTGCAATAAATGCTGTTGTAATTCATTTTCAGTGATTTACTACATTGTTTATTTGATTTGTGTATCCACCAAAAGATAGGGGAAAATTTCTGGTTTGTGGTTTTTATGATAATGCTAACTTGTTAGAAGTTGTTGTTTTATGGTGCCTAGTGCTCTAGTCATGTATTGCTTCTTCCTGTGATGAATATGATTCTGGAAAGTAATATATCAGTGTGAAGTATTGACAAGAAAATTACAGAACATGTATTTTTAGTTTGAACTCCCTATCCATCAAATATTTACATACAATTATTTCAATCGCGGAAGAGGTTTACGGTACACATGGTGTACCGTAAACCTCTTCCGCGATTGTTCATACCACCATGCAAACCTTCAAACATCAATTATTTCAATGTATTTATAATTGATATTTTATAAAAAATTGAATATATGTAGAAGATGACAAGAATCATGAAATTTTGTTTCATTAACAGTAATTATTGTGAGAAAAAAACTATTGCCTTGATGAAATTAATAAATGAAATTGGTTTTATGTACGATGATTACAAGGAGGTGGTCTGTGTCTTTGCTTATTGTTGTAGATCAAATGTGTAAAGGAGAATGGAGGAAAGCCAGCAAGGAGAGATAGAGAAGAAATGGGTAGGGAGAGAGAGTGGGATATGAGTAAAAGAAGAGAGATAGATAGAGAGACATACAGAGAGAGAGAGAGAGAGAGAGGGGGGGGGGGGGGGGGGAGAGTGAGAGAGATGAAAAGGGTAGGGAGAGAGAGATGGGTAAAACCAGAAAGAGGGAGAGAGATGAAATGGGTAGGGAAAGAGTGGGGGGAGATAGGTAAAAGCAGAGAGGTGGATAGAGAGAGAGACAAACGGGGGAAGGAGAGTGCGAGAAAGAAGGGAGACGGGTAAAAGCAGAGAGCTCGAGATAGATAAGAGAAACCGAAAGAGGGGAAGGAGAGTGTAAGGGAGAGAGATGGAATGGGTAGGGAGAGAGGTGGATAGAGAGACAGACAGAGAGAAAGAGAGGGGAAGGAGAGTGAGTGAGTGAGACAGAGAGAGAGAGGGATGAAATGGGTAGGGAGAGACTGGGAGATGGGTAAAAGCAGAGAGATGGATATAAAGAGCCGGGAAGAAGAGTGAGAGAAGTGAAAGGAGAGACAGAAAGAGGAATAAATAGTGTGAAAGAGATTGAGTGAGGAAGAGGAGAAATCTTAGAGGGAAATATACAACAACAACAAAACAGAATATTGTCACACGGAAGTCAATTTTTGCTATAATATCCAAAATTACAAAGACACGATTTGTGTTGTTGATGTGTTCTTTATAGTAAACTTTGATTTTAATTTGATTTTGTTTTTGCCAGGGGGGCGGGCCCGTCGGCCCCCTCCCCGTGGATCCGCGTCTGCTCTTGTACACGTCATATGATTCCTGACTGAACTTAAGGTTTATAATTATGATTGCAGCATGAGTCCAGCATTTTGTGTGCCAATATCTTAAAAAGAGAGTGCAATCGCCGAAATTTATTGTAATGGTACGTTAATTGATAACGTAGACATTTTAGTTTCTTTTCGAATTCTGCGATTTTGTAAGAGCTATGGTACTTTCGTTTGGTGTGTGTGCGCGTGTGTGCGCGTGTGTGTGTGGGTATGTGTGCGTGTGTGTGTGTGTGTGTGAGAGAGTGAGTGGGAGATCAGATGGGTAAAAGCAGAGAGATAGATGGTAGGCCGAATAGGGAGAGAGTGGGGGGTGAAATGGGTAGGGAGAGAGAGAGTGGGAGATGGAAGTAGGGAGAGAGAGGGAGATGGAAGTAGGGAGAGAGTGGGGGATGAAATGGGTGAAATGGGTAGGGAGAGAGAGTGGGAGATGGAAGTAGGGAGAGAGAGTGGGAGATGGAAGTAGGGAGAGAGTGGGGGTGAAATGGGTGAAATGGGTAGGGAGACAGGCGCGGATCCAGTATTTTCCAATAGAGGGGGCCGGAAATTCGAAATTCGCGCAGACCGTTATTTAAACTTACCAATACTGACAAGGTCATTATTAGAAGCACTGTACTTTAATAGTGTACTGGTACCTACAAACGGGCACAATTTTTTTGGAAAGGGGACATGCTCACATGGGGACAGATACATCTCTTGTCCGATATCAACATTCCCCGTTTTCAAGTTATGTTCGCGCGCAATTTTTTTGACATTTCCATCAGTGGGGGCTGAAGCCTCTTTCCCCAATATCTATTTCCTGGTTTAATAGTTTGGCGAGCGAGCAAAGGGAGTGAGCGGAAATTTGAGCTTATGTATGTTGTGAAAGTGTTTATTGTCACCAAAATATACGAGATAAGATATAACAAATGCATATTGGTAATTTTTATATTTTCGGGGAAAGAGAGGCTGCAACCCCATCCCGCATTAACTGCAGGTGTTTTGAAATCAAAACAGACTCCCCAAAAAATTATTAACCAAAATGCACGAATCCAGTTTCAAAAATCAAAAAAATGTCAGCTTCAGAGGGGGGCACATCGCCCCTCGGACTCCCTCTAAAAGTATTAACCGAATCGCACGAATCCAGTTGTAAAAAATTCAGCTTCAGAGCTAGAGAGGACACCCCCCCCACACACACACACACACACCCTGTGCGCGCAAGCGCGAAATTAACGCTGGCGCTAATGCATAAGCAGGGGCGGCGGAGCTATTTCCAAAGTGGAAAGCACCAACAAAAAAGGGCACCTACAAAGCGAAATCTCAAAGCGAAAATATACATTTTTTTAGACATTGGTATATACCCTTTCATTGTGATTCCATTATCAGGGACGATTTCAATATTTGTTTTTCTTTTTATATTATACAAGATATTGCTTAAGCATCACACTTTCGGCTGGGTGTGATTGTCTGAATATTCATTTGCGAGCGAGCAAAGCGAGCGAGAAAAAATGTAAGATCTGTGAGGTCGCAGAGTGAAAAATTAGCGAGCGAGCGAGCTTTAGGGAAAGTACTCTTAGTCGCTTTAAATAAGGTGCAAGACTAATGATGAGCAGGTACCCCCCGTGGCTACGTGCCTGATGATGAGAGGTTAAGGGGGCACTTATCGAAGTGGATAAAGACACTTATTAGAAAAGAAAAGGAGCATGTGTCAAGGTACAAAGAGTAATTATCAAAGGTTCAAACGGGGCACTTCTTACACCTGAAAGGAGGCACTCACCATAAATGAGATAGGGCACTTATGAGTATGGGAAATGGGCATTTGTCGACTGAAAAGGGGCATCCATCAGAAATTGGTTTATCAGAGGTGAAAAGGGGCATTTATGAAAATGGGATAGGTCCCTTATTGGAAAGGAAAAGGGGCACGATTAAAAATAAAAGGGCAGTTAGCAAAGGTGAAAATAGGCACCTATCATAGATGAAAAGAGTACTTATCAGGAGGGGAAGGGGTACTTTTCAAAGTAAAACGAGCATCTCTCAGATTTGAATAGGGGCAATTATCGGAGATGAAGAGCGCACTGAAGTGAAAAGAATTAACTTCGCATATATGAAAATGGTCATTTACCAGAGATGAAAAGGGACACTTTTTATTTATGAAGGGCCTCATTTTTCTAAATAGCCCTTATCAGATAGGAAAGGGGGCACATGTGTTGATGAAATGTGCGCTTATCCGAGTTAAAAAGGGGAAGGGGCACTTCTTTACAGAGTAAAAGTGGCCCTTTGGGGGTACTTGAAAAAGTGGGGGAACTTTGCCCCCTACCCCTGCCACCCGCCCCATCATCTGAAAATCCAAAATGATGTTGTAGGGGCCGGGCGCGGCTTTATCATGAGTGCTTTTATGTGAACCTCTTTTTTATAAATATATTATGCTGGATTCCGACCCAGATTGCACACTCTAAAATGATAGTATGATCATCCCCAATACGCTTGCAGTTCACGTATGCACCCCTTCCTCCTAATCCATCGTTGCCGTCACTGCCATTTACGTATGGCCGGCCGGCATATTTTTTATTTACACGCTAGCGAGGGGAATTTCTCGATTAATTCCAATGAAACCGCTTAAAATTCCAATGAAACCGCTCGCGAAGAGTCTAGCCTGGATCGGAGAGCTCGCTAGTGCTATACGCTAGTGTGAATTTACATCCAGGAGAAAATTTGCTTAACTTTTTCTTGAAAGACTTGAACGGTTATGGAAACTGTTTGTGTTTCCTATCTCCAAATATCAATATTATTCTGCATCAAATAGAAAACATTGATTTCTACTGTGATATGTAAAGGCACGAACTTACGTTAATACATACACATAATTTTTTGTAACCAAGAAGGTGCACCATGGTAATACATTTTAACAAACACATCAACATGTTACCTAGACAACTCATCACCATAGCCATTGTAAAACCATATATTAATGATACATGTAAAATATAGATTGAAGCAATTCTCGTCGATTGGCTATTCTGCATCAAATAGAAAACATTGATTTCTACTGTGATATGTAAAGGCACGAAGTTACGTTAATACATACACATATTTTTTTGTAACCAAGAAGGTGCACCATGGTAATGCATTTTAACAAACACATCAACTTGTTACCTAGACAACTCATCACCATAGCCATTGTAAAACCATATATTAATGATACATGTAAAGTATAGATTGAAGCAATTCTCGTCAATTGGCTGGATCCTGAGTGTGATTTATATAATGGATTTTGAGTAACATTTGCATCTACCTGTAGTTGAAGAATAGTTACAGTGTATAACATCAATTAAGTTGGAACAATTGGAAGGAAGTAACGAGGAATATTAAAGCAAGGGAGACTGGGAGATGAGAAAAGCAGGAAGTTAGAAATTGAGAGATTACTCGCGAGATAGCCTTGCATTAATAAATCCTTTATATAATGTTGTCTTGAGAGAAAGTAGACGATTTTTTTTTAAATTGGAGATTAGTGCAAGTATTATATATATTGGAAATGGAATTAATGAGAAAGTTATTTTTTATCAAGATCAATACATGGGGGGGGGGGCACCATCAAAATAGGGCACTTTCTGGAATATAAGGTGCACCTACAAAGGGAAACATCAAAATGTAAATCTACCATATTAAGACATGGACGTACGCGTAACGCATGTCACACACAGAAAATGAGAAGAAAAGATCGAAGAATAATGTTTTTAAAAAAGAAGAAGATAGAGGAAAAGGAGAGATACAGAGAGAGGGAGAGAGAGAAAGAAAGAAAGAAAAAAGGAAGAACATGAAACTTAACTTTCCGACTTAGTTGGCTCGACATGTGCTTAAGTAGTCTGCGGACGAAAGTACAACAATACGAAAAACGTTATATGAAATTGTCTTTAAGAGAGAAAGAGAGGTTATTTCTAAAATGAAATGAAAGGGGCTATGTGACACTCAAGGAAGAAATTACAATTTCTATCGCTCATGACGACTATTTGGAATTTCCTTAAAAAAATTAAAGTTCAAGAACTTCCTAGGGCTCCGCCCCATGCAAGACTCTCGGCAACAGCAAAATTATTTACACAATTTCTTGCTGTCTGCTGCCTCGAGATCACTGGAGCGAAGAAAGGTAACATAGCAAGAGTCCCTATTAAGTGAAGGATTTATCCCTTTTATTATTAGAGACTCCCGGCAAAGGCTCTCCCCCTGCAAAATTGGAGAGAGTTTTATGTAGTTTAAGCTTCTAACAACCACTCCCGTGGACCATTTATTATTTACACAAAGGTAAAAGTGTATAGCAAGAATCCCTATTCAGTGAAGGATTCATCCTTTTTATGCAGATGCTTCTTCTACCGTTCTTGACCAGAAGTGCGTTTCAAACTCAATGAAGTGGGCATCATCCCATTGAATGTTGTGTCCAGTGTTACGGGTTTGTTTTGCTACTTGCTGCCTAATCTGAGGGCTCTGTTGTGCTCTTTAAAAAGAGGACACAATAGGGGCAGCGCAATTTAAATATCAAGGGATGTATTAGAATTTATTTCTAAAATGAAATGAAAGGGCTATTTGACTTTCAAGAGCGATAAAAACTCTGATCCATCCCTTGAAATTTAAATTGCACTGCCCCCATTCAGTGTGCTATTTTCAAAGAGCACAAAAAGGCTTCAGATTGAAGATTCCATCTCATAAAATTGTCTATAAGAGAGAAAGAGATCCTTATTTCTGAAATGAAAGGGCTATTTGACTTCAAGAGCGATAAAAACTCTAATCCATCCCTTGAAATTTAAATTGCACTGCCCCCATTCAGTGTGCCATTTTCAAAGACCACAAAAAGGCTTCAGATTGAAGATTCCATCTTATAAAATTGTCTATAAGAGAGAAAGAGAGTTTATTTCGAGAGAAAAAATGAAATGAAAGGGCTATTTGACAAGAACCCTTTCATTTCATTTTATAAATAACCTCTCTTCCTCTCTTATAGACAATTTTCTCTCTTGAAAGTCAAATAGCCCTTTCATTTCATTTTAGAAATAACCTCTTTTTCTCTCCTAAAGACAATTTCTCTCTTGAAAAGGCTCTGCCAGGCCCCTCAAGCTCTGCCATGTTGTATGGATCCATTATAAAGCAAAATAAGCCCACTCAATAATTAATATATATTAAAACGTCATGTGCAGCGATTCATCCAAATAAGAAATCCACGTAAGAGGCATTTTGAAAGTTTTAAGAAAATTCCTTCAAATTCCAGGATATTGGGTGTTATTTTTCAGGAAACTCTATTTAAACGAGTGGAAGCACTGGCGGTTCTGTTTTTTTTAAACTGTAACAATTCTCCTTGGATCAGATATAGACCAAAAACAAGCCTCATTATCTTAAGTATACAAGAGTCATTTCGGACCTTACAGCTTTCATAGAAATCGCTTCTGGACCGTCAAAGAAAAAGTTTGAGAACCCCTGGTCTACGCATTATACACATCAGGACCAACTTGACAACTTGACAAAAATTTGAGGGGGGGGGGGGGGGTTCCCCCCCCCCCCCCCCCCCCTGCGTACGCGCCTGCATGTGCATCCCTTCCTCGTTATTCCCTTATCCATCGTTACCGTCACAACCATTTGAGTAGGGCCCTCTTCAATAACGGCTCCCAAGCCATCAAGAATGACCCCAGAATTTATAGATTACCATTCTGCCGTTCTTTGGAGGGGCCGGGCGCGGCCTTTTCAGAAGTGTTTCTACACCAACCTTTTCATGCACTACGGCTTAACATAAACAAGCATGCTAAGATTTTTTTGAAAAGAAGCATAATTCCGATTCAGTTTCGCATAACCTAAAAATAAGAATACGACCAGTCATCCCTCCCCCCTCCCCTCAATGCATCCGCCTTCACACACCCCACCCCTTCCCCTTGTCTTTCCCTTATTCGTCGTTAATGTCACTAATTTTTAGTGCCATTTCGTTGTCTTTCTTTCTCCCCGGCTCCTCTCTTCTTTTTCTTTCCTTTTTTTTTTTTTTTTAACTCTCTCTCTTTTCTTTTCTTTTTTTTCTTCCTCTTTTTTCCTTCTCAATTTTTTGCGCCGCCAATAGGGGGGGCCGCGGCCGTTTCGGCCCACCCCTGGATCCGCCACTGGGGAGAGAGAGTGGGAGATGGAAGTAGGGAGAGAGAGTGGGAGATGGAAGTAGGGAGAGAGTGGGGGATGAAATGGGTGAAATGGGTAGGGAGAGAGAGTGGGAGATCGGTAAAAGCAGAGAGATAATGAAGAAAGAGATAAAGAGCTGGGAAAAGGAGTGAGAGAGGTGAAATGAGAGGCAGAGAGGAATAAACAATATGAAAGAGACTGAGCGAGGGAGAGGAGAAATCATAGAGGGAAATATACACCAACAAAAAAACAGAATATTGTCACACGGAAGTCAATGTCGTACATTTTATTTGTCTTTAATATCCAAAATTACAAAGACACGATTTGTAAGTTGTTGGTATTGAACAAAGAGAAAACGTCACATTTTCAAGTTCACACAAAATTCCACAAGAATCGCAACCAGGCAATAACAAAGAATAAATTATTATAAAATCAATTGCAGTTTTAGCCATGTGCCAACATAACAGTACAAATAAACAATATCTGACATCAAAATTGAGGTTTTAGCCCTTAAAACTCTTTTCTGAGATAACTGTGGCAGTTCCAAGTGTTGCTGTTGACTAGCAACTAACACACGGAACTGCCACAGTGGAATGTTGTTACATAACCGGTTCACTCGGATAATATACTGTAGAGAAGTTGGCAGTACCTGTTTTGATTCTATGGGGAAGATTACGGTTAAGAAGCATTGCTCATGGTATGTTCCTCTATATCTTCTGGACTTTTAAAAGTTAATTCAGAACGCAATACTATCGTTAAAATACATCTTGAATCCGTTTTTTCATAATATGTAGACGGGATTCGGGTTGCGGATTCTTTGTAGTTTATGATCACGGCTTCCACTGTTCAGGGAAGTGAAGCGCAAGTTTTCCCACAGCTTCCTCCATCTGATGAACGTCTTCCTCCTGGGCAACACACAGAACGTCATTCTCTATGAAACAAACAAACAAATAAACAATTAAACAAAACAGAGAAGCACATTTTTAATATAATTTTAAAGGTATAAGTTCTTATTCAATGAAACTTGGACTTAATGGTTATCAAGTATCTCCGATCATGTGATGAGAATTTCAGGTCACAAAGTCAAGGTCAAAGGTCATTTCTGGTCAACAAACTTAGACTATGTTGTGGCATCATTTTGAATTTTAATCATAATTTTGAAAGTATACATCCCTATTCCATGAAACTTAAACATAAAGGTTATCAAGTATTACCAATCATGTGATTAGTCTTTTAGGTGACTAGTCGAGGTCAAATGTCATGTCAGGTCTGCAAACTTAAACTTTGTAGTGGCATCAACATCAAGATTTTGAATTTTTAGCATAATTTCTAAAGTGTTTGTTCAAATTCATTGAAACTTGTACCCAAGGGTTATCAATTATCACAAAGCATATGACGTAAAATTTCAGGTCACAAAGTCAAGGTCAAAGGCCATTTGAGGTCAATAGACTTGGATTATGTTTCCACAACTTAATATGAGAATTAATAAATCATTTTTTGTTATTTGTTCATATTTCTTTAAAGTTATCAATCTTGGTACAAATAATAGTAAATAATTCTTCTGATGATTCTTAGTCAATATTCACTTCAAAATGCTTATTATATACAAAGGATTTGATTTTTGGTGAGGCCTACTAATGGACCACCCTGCCTAGAAATAATGTCCCAACCAATTTTTCATCATATCAAATTGCGTGATGCAGGCGAGACCGCCGAGAGCGTTTCCCTTGTTAGGTTTACTGAGAGTAAACTTAAACAGCGAAATCTCCTTGTAAGAGTAATATTTGAAGCTTATATTTCACCATACCTAACGCAGTAAAGCAAAATGGAAGCCCTTATAAAAGCAAAACATACGTTGGTGATTGGTAAGAGCTGGTTGAGTTTTGGTAAAGACAATAACATTTCTAATGAGCTTTGTCATCCTTTGTTAAGCAGAATATCATGGTGGAAATGTCTTCTAAAATTCGTTCCTCTTGAAATGCCTTCATGTTAAAAAAGTGATGAGATATAGGCCTACCTAGAAATTTTGGACTGCACTTAAACGCCACATGTGTGCATAGGCTTGTATACCGATATCTGTGTGAACTGATTTGATTTTCAGCAAGATTGGGTCAATTTCTTGTCATAATGATCATTCCAAAATCTCACAGTTAACATCGATTCCTTAACGATCAAGCCTTCCAGGAATCTTTCAAGACATTTTCCGGAGCTGAACTGTACGAGCTTCTTTTCGAAGGGGGTCTGGATTGAAGTTTCTAAAGTCTGTACGCATGAGCTCTATTTAAAATTTTCAAAATGTTGGGGGTCCGGACTCCGGACGTAGAATTTGGGTGCCAATATGTACTGGGTGCCTGTTAGTGTCGAGCCCTGCATTTCCTTTTTTCAGTAATCTCTTAGTTTTTCGCTGACATGTTATTGAAGTAAAGCTTACCCAGTTCTTTCTCTGTATAAGGTCGAGGAGGACTACGACGACGACGACTAAAATCTAAACTTCCGTCTAGAAATAGAACATAAAAGATGACATCAAATTCAGTCTCACTGATTAGGGTTATATGATTGTCAAATGACATTGAGCCAATTCCATATTTCCTAAAAGATAAACAGTTATATGACTAGACATTGTGGTCATGCTCACTAAGCATGAACATATTTACCAGAGTAGGTTTTTGATTATTGAGATAACTACCGGTACATGGTATCAAAACACAGCCTACCGGTAAGTTCGATTTCGGAGTATGTACAAATGTAGGTCAAAGGTCATAGCTCATTAAATATGCAAAAAATAGCTAATTATGCTTTTTTTAAATGTGGTTTCCGTTCGATAACTTTAGTAATGTTTGACGGATTTTAATGAAGTTTAATGTGAAGGTACATGGTATCAAAATACGAATCCCCCGGCAGTATGCCTATGGGGTACTTTGGACTCAGCAGCGTTAAGCAGCGTCCGCCGCGTCATAGTCTTGTGTGCGCTCTAACTGCCACATTCCTTGACGGATTTCTTTCAAATTATGTATGGAGGTGTATCTTGGTATAATCTACACACCTATAACTTTTGGTGCTGCTGCCTCCAGTGTTCTGTCTTCTATAGGGTGAAATGCCATATTTTTGTGGGTGGCTTGTGTGCGCTCTATAGGCCACATTCCTCTAGGGTTTTTTGTTCAAATTTTGAACGAAGGTGTTTCTTGGTATAATCTACAAGCCTATAGATTTTGGTGATGCTGTCTCACGTGTCTCGTGTTTTATAGGGTCAAAAGGTCATTTTGGTGGGTGTCTAGTGTGCGCTCTGCAGGTCATATTTCGTGACAAATCTTTCTCAAATTTTGAATGGAAATGTATCTTGGTACAATCTACACATCTACACTTTTGGGCGATGCTGCCCTCATTGTTCCGTCTTTTATATGGTCAAAGGTCATTATGTCTTTTACTGCCACATTTCTTGACGGATTTCTTTCAAATGTTGTATGGAGGTATGTCTTAGTACAATCTACACATCTTTAGTGTTTGGTGATGCTGCCACCTGTGTTCCCTCTGTTATAGGGTCAAAAGTCATATTTTGGGGGCTGTCTTTTGAGCGCTCTAACTGCTACATTTTTTGACAGATTTCTCTTAAATTTTCTACAGAGATGCATTATACTCTAATCTATACACACATTGTTTTAGTGATGCTGCTCCTAGTCTTGACAATATTCCAGAGCCACTAGTGGCGATCTCTATGTCATCCTTTTGTTTCGGGGAGGGGAGAGGGGAGCTTTGTCCCTCCTTCGAACATAAAGGATTACACAAAATTGATGCCACTGCCGGGGGATACATTTCGATTCATTTTTTCAATTCATTTTTATTCAACGATATACAAAAATAGTACAATACAATAAAACATGTTGACATAATCATATATAAAGTTAACATATCGTTAGGGGCAACCAAAAAAGATCAAGATCTTGTGGACTGGTGCCCCTTTTACAAAAATAACAAATTACAGTTGCATTGCTCGGCAATACAGATTGCGATATTTCTAGGTATTCTTAGGATATAGGCCTATATGATTATGAAATACCGAGCATTTCTTTTGCTCGTCACTTTTTCTCTGTTCGCCCTCTATCCATTGATTTTAGTTTTGACAGTATCTGCAGCTGAAATTCTTATTTTACTGCTATGAACTCACCATTAAAATAATGAATAATCTCGTACGTCTTTTCTTATTTTCATAGTCACAATCGATACTGGCCTTTTTATACAACATGTAAAAGGGGACGAAAATCCGTTCCTTCTGTGACAAGCAAAAATAATGTCTTTGTTTTTTTAGGGGTGGGACATGTATCCCTTTGCCCCTCCCCTCCCCTACTCCACCCGGATCCGCCACTGTTGCAATATGTTTATATTCACGGTAGGATGTGAGTGAAACCGTGTGGTATACTAAAATATGGAAGAAAATTTCAAACGGTTCTGAATTAAAAACTAGATCATTTTTTTCTCCAAAAATTTTAATTTCCTTTTTTTAATACCGGTATACCTTTTCAATCCTAACAACATTTTTGTCTAACTGATCGTGACCTCAAATGGCTCAGATTCAATTGCAACCCAATTGAAAGCTCAAATACGTCGATTTAGATGCTGTCATAACTTTATGCTGTTCAATTACAAATATATGGTATTTATAAAAAATAAAAAAATTCTTGAAGTGTAACCGATTATTAACCATGGTACGGCCATGGTGGTCACATCCATCACAAACTTTAATACAAAACAAGCAGAATATAATAACTGAGGGTACTAGATAACAGATATATCATTTTATATGGCTCATATTCTGTTCGTTTTATATTTTGTGTTGATTAGTTACATTTCTTGTTTGGTTCACAGATGTCAACTTCTTTAAGTTTCTTTAATATTAAGTTTCCATGGCAGCGGCCATTTTTTTTTAATTGACTGGATTCAAATGACTCATTTCTTTTTGATATTATCAAACAGTAATTACCTAAAATTATTAAATGATCACCTTTAGTTTCATGTTGATAAAACACAATTATAGTATTTTCTACAATTCAAATATTTCTGGGTTTGTTACCATGGTAACAGCCTATTGGTCACGTCCATCACCTACTTTATGCAAACAGATGATAGCAAAGGGTCCTAGCAAACAGAAAATCATCATTTAGACAATATCTTTATTATTTTTAGGTATTTTTTTAATACAAGTATAAAACAGTTCACTGTTTCCATAGCAACAGCAATTTTTTTTAATATGACTGACACCTGTAATAACTTGCAGTTGAAATCAAGTGATATTCTTTAAATACACATATCATATGTTTTCAATGTGTTTTTACTTTCTAAATTACAAATATATGACCTTTCCGAAAATCCAATTGTTCTTGCTCCGTTACTATGGTAATATGCCTACAAGGCACTAAGAAAAAATGGTGCAAGTATGCACCTTTAGGGGTGCAAACCGGTGCAACACTGGCAGCACCTTTAGGGGTTAAATCCTGCACCCTTTTTAAAGGTGAAATCCTGCACCCTTTAAAAGGGTGCCAGATTGAACCTTTTAGGGGACGTTAGTACCCTTTATGGTTCAATCCTGCACCTTTAGGGGTGCAAACCGATGCAACACTAGCAGCACCTTTATGGGTTCAATCCTGCACCCTTTAAGAGGGTGCCAGAATGCACCTTTTAGGAGACATGTTAGTACCCTTAATGGTTCAATCCTGCTCCAGTAGGAGTGCAAACTGATGCAATAGCAGCACATTTCGGTGTTCAATCCTGCACCCTTTAAAATGTGCAATCCTGCACCCATCATCGAGGAATACTCGTGAAATTCGCTCGTACAGAAATACATATTAACCATGCATGATGTTTCTTGGTTAGTAATCATATAATCAATATATCTATTGCTAAAACGTGAATGTAATTGTAACATGATCAGACAAAATAATATATTGGTTATTGATTGCCGAAGGAAAATACATATCACAAAATTGATGTGCATTGTCATAATTTGCTTAACAAGTCATGATAAATGTATTTTTATGTGAACACGTGGAAAGTAATCATGAATATGCATGCAATATGCAAACTTTTATTTTGCACCCTTTTTTGGTCGATAGGGTTCATTTTTGTGGGACGGGTGCAAAATCTTATATTGCACCCTTTTTTGCACCCCTTGTCCTTCAATAGGGTTCATTTTCATGTAAAGGGTGCAAACTCTTATTTTGCACCCTTTTTTGCACCCTTTTTTCTTAGAGTAGTTGCCACACATGCCGAACCTACCGCGGTGTTTGCAGCTGAAAATACAATGGCGACTTATTTTGTTTACAAGCGACGGATTCCTTAATTTTTTTATCCTTGCATTTTTAATCAAAATAATACCATGACCAGGGATTAGAGTGAGGCAATAAATTAAACATTTAGCCTGAGGGTTGTGAAGTAAGAGAAATAACTGAATAGAACATGACAAAACAGGCACTGAAAATGTGTGAGATGTCATGGGACATCGTCTGCTTGTGCAAATCATGTTCAACATGTGACGTCACACATCTCATCCGCGATCTGAGAGCTTTTCAGTTGCTATGCCGGGGCTGTATTTCAGCGTTTTGTAATTGATAATAATCATTACTTCGAATGTTTCCAAGCATTGAATTTTGAAATTTTAAAATCAATGAACCTTCTCTTTAAAGGGATCGTTTAACAATGTTAAGTCTGAGATGCACGGCCCTACGAGTTATCATTGTCTGTGACATGGGGTTATATTGAAGCCCTAAAAAAAAAGTGCGCTTCAAAATGATTAAGAAGTGCCTCAGAAAAGTAAAAACCTTTGAGTGACCGGTTTTACCATACTCATTTTTACCAATAGACTGTAGTGTTATGAAAACCGTTTGGCAAACGCAAAATTCGATTTATATTTTCAATCATAAATATCTTGATAATCAGACAGGCGATCGGCTTGTAAAAGTCATGGGGTTCCTGACTGACCTAAGGGTTTATAATTATCACTGCAGCATGAGCTAAATCAAGGATTTTTTAAAGGGTCTAAGACAAAGTAACCGGATTCCTTTAATAGTACTCACCTGTTTCATCCAGGAATTCAGCCACTAGAATAACTGAAACCAGAACAAGCACCAAAAGACGCTTCATTTTGCTTGAAGATTTGAGCTGATCTATGCAGAGAGTGCTTCAGTAAGGTACGTCTTGTTACTCTGCTGGAAAATTCAAAAGTGACACTCAAAAGTGAGAATCACTTCTTATGGATATATTAAAGGAAGGTTAGACAAAGCTCTGCCCTTCCCTTTTCAGACAATTTTCTGAAGCATGAAGTTAAGCTTAAAGGAAGACTATTCAATCATTTCCATTGAGCTCCTACATTAGGTATTTTGTTGACACGCTTGATAACTGTAAGGAGGTTTATTGCCATGGTATTGTAATAAACAAAATAAATAGGTGAAATCAATTGAATCGGTTGATAGAGGGACTTCTTATTTGTAACTAACTTGTTTAGTGTCACATTCCCTTGAGTAGGTTTTTCGACCACTTGTGTCAGGTTGTGGCCATTAATTGAGCAGTTGAGACAGGTTTCATCAATTCAAGTCACCCGCTATGATATGACACCGGTACCTCAATGTTTGTAGAGGATATCATCAATACAGTTGCTCAATTTCTGTACTAGTTAGTAGGAGCCATCGTTGTTAGTATCGGAAGGGAAATATACAGACGCAATCAAAACTGAAGATACCTCTCTTGGCAAACTTCTTGGGCAGATTTAGGTCCAAACCACTTTATACTAATTGGGTACGGGGATTTCGCATAACACAACATTCATAGTGATTTTTACATAGAGAGCTACCCCCCCCCCCCCCCCACGCGTTTGATGGCAAAATTTCACGTGAATAAGCGAGTTCGTAATTGCACACTGCGCATGCGCCAAAATCGAGCAACGAACTTTTCCAAAGGTCACATGAACTTGAACTTATCTAGTAGGCCTATTAAAGTCCTTCACTATTTGAAATAAAGCAAACTATAATTTGAATTTATTTAGTCAAGCATTGATTAGGCTGAATGAATGAATATTGTATTTATTAATTTCACATTGCCTTTAACGATTATTGAAGACGAAATATAACTTTCATTAAATTTTGTTTTAAATGATAGTACTGATTTATTTAGTCAAGCCAATCTACCTAGTAGGCCTATTAAGAGAAACACTATAAAACTGTCTATATATTCTTTGTGGTGCGAGTCCTTCTTGCGTGTTAAGATCATCAAATTTTCCATAGGAGGGGACTAACACAGTGGCGGTTCATGCCGGCAGCAAGAAAGGGGGGGGGGGGGGGGGTAAGAGCACTTTTTAAAATATTTGTTGGGTCTAACTTTTCAGGAAATATTTAGCAGGGGGGGGGGGGGGACGGGCCCGTCGGCCCCCTCCCCGTGGATCCGCTCCTGCTCTAATTGTACACGTCATACATGTATGATTCCTGACTGAACTTAAGGTTTATAATTATGATTGCAGCATGAGCTACTTCTTTGTTATTCAATGATTATTTTTAATGATTCTTTATGATAGATTTAATGTAATAGATCATTGAGTTTTAAATGGGGCCAAACTTGACTATAGTTACATAACAATGTAAGAGAGAAAGAGAGGTTATCTCTTAAATGAAATGAAAGGAAAATGAAAATCCAAAAAATGTCAGCTTCAGAGGGGGGCACATCACCCCTCAGACTCCCTCCAAAAGTATTACCCGAATCGCACGAATCCATGTAAAAAAAAATCAGCTTCAGAGCTAGAGAGGAACCCCCCCCCCCCCACACACACATACACAGACACCCCCTGTGCACGCAAGCGTGAAATATAACGCTGGCGCTAATGCGTAAGCAGGGGCGGCGGAGCTATTTCCAAAGTGGAAAGCACCAACAAAAAAGGGCACCTACAAAGCGAAATCTCATAGCGAAAATATACATTTTTTTAGACATTGGTATATACCCTTTTATTGTGATTCCATTATCAGGGACGATTTCAATATTTGTTTTTCTTTATATATCATACAAGATATTGCTTAAGCATCACACTTTCGGCTGGGTGTGATTGTCTAAATATTCATTTGCGAGCGAGCAAAGCGAGCGAGAAAAAATGTAAGATCTGTGAGGTCGCAGAGTGAAAAATTACATCTTATAAAGAGGAAAAAACCAAATCATGATGGGGTTATAAGCATCACGGAAGACTGAAAAAAAAATTGTTTTAAAGTGACATATTGTATCATCTATAAATGCGAGCGAGCGAGCGACCTTTTTAGGGGAAATTAGTCTTAGTCGCTTTAAATTAGGTGCAAGACTAATGATGAGCAGGTTAGGGGCACGTGCCCCCCCCCCCGTGCCTACGTGCGAAAGGGATAAAGACACTTATTAGAAAAGAAAAGGAGCATGTGTCAAGGTACAAAGAGTAATTATCAAAGGTTCAAACGGGGCACTTCTTACACCTGAAAGGAGGCACTCACCAGAAATGAGATAGCGCACTTATGAGTATGGGAAATGGGCATTTGTTGACGGAAAAGGGGTATCCATCAGAAATTGATTTATCAGAGGTGAAAAGGGGCATTTATGAAAAGGGGATAGGTCCCTTATTAGAAAGGAAAAGGGGCACGATTCAAATAAAAGGGCAGTTAGCAAAGGTGAAAATGGGCACCCATCATAGATGAAAAGAGTACTTATCAGGAGGGGAAGGGGTACTTTTCAAAGTAAAACGAGTATCTCTCAGATTTGAATAGGGGCAATTATCGGAGGTGAAGAGCGCACTGAAGTAAAAAGAATTAACTTCTCATATATGAAAATGGTCATTTACCAGAGATGAAAAGGGACACTTTTTATTTATGAAGGGCCTCATTTTTCTAAATAGCCCTTATCAGATAGGAAAGGGGGCACATGTGTTGATGAAATGTGCGCTTATCCGAGTTAAAAAGGGGAAGGGGCACTTATTTACAAAGTAAAAGTGGCCCTTGGGGGGGGGGGGTACTTAAAGAGTGGGGCGAACTTTGCCCCCTACCCCTGCCACCCGGCCCATCATCTGAAAATCGAAAATGATGTTGTAGGGGCCGGGCGCGGCTTTATCATGAGTGCTTTTATGTGAACTTCTTTTTTATAAATATATTATGCTGGATTCCGACCCAGATTGCACACTCTAAAATGATAGTATGATCATCCCAATACGCTTCCGTCGTTACCGTCACTGCCATTTACGTATGGCCGGCCGGCGTATTTTTTTTATTTACACGCTAGCGAGGGGAATTTCTCGATTAATTCCAATGAAACCGCTTAAAATTCCAATGAAACCGCTCGCGAAGAGTCTAGCCTAGATCGGAGAGCTCGCTAGTGCTATACGCTAGTGTGAATTTACATCCAGGAGAAAGTTTGCTTAACTTTTTCTTGAAACACTTGAACGGTTATGGAAACTGTTTGTGTTTCTAATCTCCAAATATTAATATTATTCTGCAACAAATATAAAACATTGATTTCTACTGTGATATGTAAAGGCACGAACTTACGTTAATACATACCCAACCAAGAAGGTGCACCATGGTAATACATTTTAACAAACACATCAACATGTTACCTAGACAACTCATCACCATAGCCATTGTAAAACCATATATTAATGATACATGTAAAATATAGATTGAAGCAATTCTCGTCAGTTGGCTGTATCCTGAGTGTGATTATAATGGATTTTGAGTAACATTTGCATCTACCTGTAGTTGAAGAATAGATACAGTGTATAACATCAATTAAGTTGGAGTTCAATTGGAAGGAAGTAACGAGGAATATTAAAGCAAGGGAGACTGGGAGATGAGGAATGCAGGAAGTTAGAAATTGAGAGATTACTCGCGAGATAGCCTTGCATTAATGAATCCTTTATATAATGTTGTCTTGAGAGAAAGTAGACGATTTTTTTTTAAATTGGAGATTAGTGCAAGTATTAGATATATTGGAAATAGAATTAATGAGAAAGTTATTTTTTATCAAGATCAATACATGGGGGGGGGGCACCATCAAAATAGGGCACTTTCTGGAATATAAGGTGCACCTACAAAGGGAAACATCAAAATGTATATCTACCATATTAAGACATTGATAGACGTACGCCTAACGCATGTCACACACAGAAAAATGAGAAGAAAAGAAAGAATAATGTTTTTTAAAAAGAAGATAGAGGAAAAGGAGAGAGACAGAGAGAGGGAGAGAAAGAAAGAAAGAAAGAAAAAAGGAAGAACATGAAACTTAACTTTACACTTAGGCCTACATAATTACATTTCCGACTGAGTTGGATCGACATGTGCTTAAGTAGTCTGCGGACGAAAGTACAACAATACGTTGTGGCGTGCGCCTGTAATCCAGCTAAAAAGTGGAAGTTACAAACTGATTCAGCCGAGGACGCAGGTTCGAAACTGAGTCACGTCTTTCGGATGGTGACGTTTAAAGGTCGGTCCCAGACGTAAATAATCATATCTGATTGATACACGTCTGTAGAAACCCAATACACACACACATACAACAATACGAAAACAGAAGTTATATGAAATTGTCTTTAAGAGAGAAAGAGAGGTTAAATTCTAAAATGAAATGAAAGGGGTTATGTGACTCTCAAGGAGGAAATTAAAAATTTCTATCGCTCATGACGACTATTTGGAATTTCCTAATTTTTTTTAAAGTTCAAGAACTTCCTGGGCTCCGCCCCATGCAAGACTCCCGGCAACAGCAAATTATTTACACAATTTCTTGCTGTCTACTGCCTCGAGATCACTGGAGCGAAGAAAGGTAACATATAGCAAGAATAAGGATTTATCCCTTTTATTATTAAAGACTCCCGACAAAGGCTCTCCCCTGCAAAATTGGAGAGAGTTTTATGTAGTTTAAGCTTCTAACAACCACGCCCGTGGACCTTTTATTATTTACACAAAGGTAAAAGTGTATAGCAAGAATCCCTATTCAGTGAAGGATTCATCCTTTTTATGCAGATGCTTCTTCTACCATTCTTGACCAGAAGTGCGTTTCAAACTCAATGATGTGGGCATCTTCCCATTGAATGTTGTGTCCAGTGTTACGGGTTTGTTTTGCTACTTGCTGCCTAATCTGAGGGCTCTGTTGTGCTCTTTAAAAAGAGGACACAATAGGGGCAGCGCAATTTAAATATCAAGGAATGTATTAGAATTTATTTCTAAAATGAAATGAAAGGGACATTTGACTTTCAAGAGCAATAAAAACTCTAATCCATCCCTTGAAATTTAAATTGCACTGCCCCCATTCAGTGTGCTATTTTCAAAGAGCACAAAAAGGCTTCAGATTGAAGATTCCATCTCATAAAATTGTCTATAAGAGAGAAAGAGAGCCTTATTTCAGAAATGAAAGGGCTATTTGACTTTCAAGAGCGATAAAAACTCTAATCCATCCCTTGGAATTTAAATTGCACTGCCCCATTCAGTGTGCCATTTTCAAAGAGCACAAAAAGGCTTCAGATTGAAGATTCCATCTCATAAAATTGTCTATAAGAGAGAAAGAGAGTTTATTTCGAGAGAAAAAATGAAATGAAAGGGCTATTTGACAAGAGCCCTTTCATTTCATTTTAGAAATAACCTCTCTTCCTCTCTTATAGACAATTTTCTCTCTTGAAAGTCAATAACCCTTTCATTTCATTTTAGAAATAACCTCTTTTTTTCTCCTAAAGACAATTTCTCTCTTGAAAAGGCTCTGCCAGGCCCCTCAAGCTCTGCCATGTTGTATGGATCCATTAGAAAGTAAAATAAGCCCACTCAATAATTAATATATATTAAGACGCCATAGCGATTCATCAAAATAAGAAATCCACGTAAGAGGCATTTTGAAAATTTTAAGAAAATTCCTTCAAATTCCAGGATATTGGATGTTATTTTTCAGGAAACTCTATTTAAACGAGTGGAAGCACTGGCGGTTCTGTTTTTTTAAAACTGTAACAATTCTCCTTGGATCAGATATAGACCAAAAACAAGCCTCATTATCTTCAGTATACAAGTGTTATTTCGGACCTTACAGCTTTCATAGAAATCGCTTCTGGACCGTCAAAGAAAAAGTTTGAGAACCCCTGGTCTACGCATTATACACATCAGGACCAACTTGACAACTTGACAAAAATTTGAGGGGGGTTCGACACCCCCCCCCCCCCCCCCCTGCGTACGCGCCTGCATGTGCATCCCTTCCTCCTTATTCCCTTATCCATCGTTACCGTCACTACCATTTTAGTAGGGCCGGCCCCCTCCTTTTAACGACTCCCGAGCCATCAAGAATGACCCCATAATTTATAGATTACCATTCTGCCGTTCTTTGGAAGGGCCGGGCGCGGCCTTTTCAGAAGTGTTTCTACACTAACCTTTTCATGCACTCCGGCTTAACATAAACAAGCATGCTAAGATTTTTTTGAAAAGAAGCATAATTTCGACTCAGTTTCGCATAACCTAAAAATAAGAATACGGCCAGTCACCCCTCCCCCTCCCCTCAATGCATCCGCCTTCACGCACCCCCCTTCCCCTTGTCTTTCCCTTATTCGTCGTTACTGTCACTATTTTTTAGTGCCATTTCGTTGTCTTTCTTTCTCCCCGGCTCCTCTCTTCTTTTTCTTTCCTCTTTTTTGAACTCTTTCTCTTTTCTTTACTTTTTTGTTCTCTTTTCTTTTATCTTCTTCTTTTTTCCCCCATTTTTTCCCCTCTTTTTCCCTTCTCAATTTTTTTGCGCCGCCAATAGGGGGGGCCGCGGCCGTTTCGGCCCACCCCTGGATCCGCCACTGGGTTCAATAGTGGGGTACGATATGTACATATCTAGTGGCAAGCCTAGATAAACGCGCCCTCAGTTACAAATTATTTCAGTCACCTGTTCATTTTTAGAATAATTGTTTTTTTAGTAGTCAGCCGTAATATGTGTTCTACATTACCATAGAACATCATCTTCACCTTTAAGTTTAGGTTTAAATGTAAATCCTACCTCCCTGGACGGCAACAGAAACCGTACATAATTATATTGTAGCAATGACAATGACAATGATTTGTATTTCTTTAACGGCCCCTTCTGGGGAATGGAAGAAATGTTCAAAAATGATATTAAAAAAAAACACAGAAAATCTTTAAAAACAAGAAAATCTTTGGCAGCGAACAACATACGAATCGTTCGTTCGTGTCAGTTATGTAAAGTTCCTTAATTAAATTAAGTTAAATTAAATTAAGTTCTTCCATCGCTCCATTGCTGCAATGGACGTTTCATTAAAGGCGCGGATCCAGGATTAATTAGGGGTGGATTATTTAGGATTAGTCGTGCCGACAAATATTTAGCTCAGTGGGGGGGGGGGGGGGGGGGGGGGGGGGGGGGGGGGGTGAGCTATAATTTGTTTTTCTTCCAAAAAAAAATAGAAGCTTAGGGGTTTTATACATCAAATCAGGGGCGTACGCAGAGGGGGGGGGGGGTTGGGGGTTCAAACACCCCCCTTTGGTATTTTTATGTATGTAAACCCCCTAAAAAAACCTAAACCCCCCCCCCCCCCCTTTGGGTTTTTTTTTTTTTATACCCACGGCTAACCTAAATAAGGTGACCTTACCCCCCCCCCCCAACGAAGAAAAATGTCCAATTTTGAAATTTTGAGACCCCCCCCCCCAAAAAAAAAAAAAAAGTGTCCGCTTACCACCCGTGAACTGGTCTATTGCAGGGCCTGCGGAAAATACAGATGTGGCTCCCCCTCGGCCAACGAAACCCAATTATATCTCATTATTCATTTAGCACTATGTCTAACCTTACTGTTATTCCTATATAATTTAAATAGAAGAGTTATTAGATGATTGCAGATTCCATTTGATTGTGAGTACAAATTTTCGTACTGTTATAAATGATCAAAACTCTTACTCTTTCGCGAAAGAAAAGATGATATTCGGGCAAGTGGCGTCAGCCTGTTGGTCAGTTCGAGACAGTCCGATTCTGGGTTAATGGGTCATTAATGGTTTTGAGCTATTCTTACAGATTGAAGCATTGAAATTTATGCTTAGACCTTTTTGGAGCTCATGAATGCAACAATCTTCACGTATTTTGTTTTTCCCAATGTCTTACCATGAAGCAGGTATTTTCCCTTACGGATTACAATGGAACCCAATTTGTGACTACCTGTAAAGAAAGACCACCTGTCTAAACAGGCCGTTCTGAAAAGTGTTCCCCTCTGAAATGCACAAAAGCTACATCTGCATGTGCATATAGATCACCTGCTTTTATACAGACCACATTTCTTGTCACCCTTGAGTAATCTTTATTTACAGATGTAATACTTATAAAAGAAATATTATCCTGCTGTCCCTCATTCTAACGCTCTGTAAAGTTTGCTACGACGATGTGGGTTGCTTTAGTCGAGTCTTTTTTACTTGCCATCATCGACACCCGGATTCGCCGGCCAAGATCGGCACGACGTTCACTCTCTTCACCCGCTCGACCGCCGGCGACGTCGGAGTTGGAGAGTCGATGGACAGGAAAATTCCGTCAACGATTACGACGTCGAAGTTCGATGCGAGGAGGGGTACGAAGATTCTGATACACGGCTGGAAGGGAAGTATGGAGGGATACAGGTGGACTGGTATGAGGGACGCTCTGCTATTGAGGGTACGTGGAAGACAAGAGAATATTATTTTAACAGAAGTTGTTATGAGAAATTGTAATACTGTCATGTGCAGAAGTAATACATTGCTTCCCCTCCATCATGATATATATATATATATATCTCCCCCCCCCCCACTCTCTCTCTTTCTATCTCGCTATTTCTCCCTCACCCCTCTCCCCCCCCCCCCCCCCCCCCCCCTCTGTCTCGCTCTCTCTGTCTCTGTCGCTCTCTGTCGCTCTCTGTCGCTCTCTGTCGCTCTCTGTCGCTCTCTGTCGCTCTCTCTCTCTCATCTTTTCCCCACTCTCGATCTTCGTCCCTCTTCCTCTTCTCTTTCACCTCTAACATAATTTTCTTTCTTGGTACCATCCTTTCCCACTCCCTCTTTAACTGCCAGTCTCTCCTTAATTCGTTATTTCCCATTACTTTGAATTTATTTGTAGATATTCACGATCGCAAACTATATAAGTAATTAACTTTATCGGTTATTTCTATACCTTCTTTTACAACCAACAGAAATAAAGTTCGGATGACAAGAAGATGTGTCATAATCTTTATTTTTAACATTTAACAGTTGAAGCATCACAATCAGGCTATTGAATTTGCCTCTTGTAGATTTTAAAAATAAATCATTTGCGATCTTGTGTAAAGTTTCCATGGTTGCGTCATGTGTTCTTTTTAAAGCAATACAGCCCTGAATGTTAATAAGGGCTGATATTTCGGTATTTTGACACTTTTTGCCACTTTTACCTTTATTAAAACACAAAGGAAGACGTCAACGTGATCATGGTCGACTGGTCTTTGGGTGCTCGAAGACAATACCCGACGTCGAGGGCCAACTCTCGCGTGGTCGGTCGCCAGGTCGCCAGGTTAATCGAAGCCCTCAATGTACACGGCGGGGCTCTTTATATCGACGTCCATATCATTGGGCACAGCTTGGGCGCCCACATTGGGGGCTACGCAGGGTCATCCACCCATGAAATGATCGGAAGAATATCAGGTACATGATTTTTTTTTAATTATTGTTATTATTTATTAGGCCAATCATAAAAGCACAATACAATTACATTTTGACAGATCATGCAATACATACAAAATACAAGAGGAAAAGGGAGGGAGCAACGTGTGGGCCAGGGCTCACAAAAGTGAAATTCAACACTATTACCCGGAGGCATGTGAGCCCTCACATGTTGCTCCCAAATCAACTTAAATATAAACATAACATTGTCACATACATAATATTGCACATTGTTTGAAGAAAAAAAAATCTTAACTCCTCCCTCCCTCCCTCCAAAAACTAAGACTAAAATGACACATTTATTACATATCGCATATTCCTACAAATAAGGATATAATTCAGATGTACCAAGACAATTATAAATCATTATGATACAAGCAGCATTATATTAGATTAATGAGGAATTAAACAGTTAGGAATCTGGTATCTTCAACAGGGTTGAGAAAAATCACATAATGCATCTAGTAAAGACGCAGGATATAAAGCCTACAATATGCAAGGGGCCTAGTATCAAAATGAAAGTGTATAAATTATGTAAAATACAAGTATAAAGAGAATATAAGTGTTATATAGGCCTGAAGAAAGAATGTCTATATTATATGTGAGCCTATTAATATGTAATAAAGAAGTAAGAGTAGTTATGTACAATACAATTGTTATATGTATAATGTTTGTACGTTAAATCCAGCAAAGAGTGGCGCCCCCCTAAAAAGATAATAACAATGATTGTGGGCTTACCGACATTCTGGTAAAAAAAATAAGATGCACCATCATGAAAACAAGTTTCAAGAGCCTTGTGAGTCACCAATTAAAATGTGTGATCATGACAATGACGCATTATTACGTAATCTCAACATGATTTCTGTAGGAGTCAATAGCGTATTGATAATGCCCTTGAGTTGATTTTTGGAAAACGGTTTGCATACCTGACTCTCAACATTTTCCCGGTCCGTTCATCATTTTGATACCATTTTCTTTATAATAATAATAATAATAATAATATCGAATATTTAGGAGCGCTAAAAACAATAAGTACCATAGCGCTTACAAATACAAATATATGAAAAGAGGACAAAACACTACAGTACAGGGAGTATATCACATAGATCATTGGGGAAAAAGGTAAGTTTATCAGGAAAGTACTAACATAGTCTAAGAACCTGTCCCGAAATAGTCACCCAATTAGGCCTATGTAACATTGGACCCTTAAGTAACTGAGCATTATTTTTCTCAAGCCTATTCCGGCCCTTACACGCTTCTTTCGCCCATAAGATGTACACACTGGCGAAAGGTGTCTTGGATTCGATTACTTCTATATTAGTAATATTTCCCCAAGAGCATTACTTGTATTCTAATTGTTTAGTACAATATACAAACTATTTTGAATATATGGCAGATCAAATATTGATCAAAGAGTAGGTCTATTGGCAATGTGACACAATTCCTTAAAATTGTGTTCATGCACTGTTCTCAATAATGTATAAAACAGCAGCTGTACACTTGAGGTTCTTGTCTGGCATAAGGCGTACTTCCCACCGAGTTTGCGGGCCCAAGAAAGGGGGGGGGGGGTATTTTTGTCATTTAATTTGCACAAGTGACAGTGCTGAGTAAATGCCTTAAATTAAAAATATAATAATAATTGCGGGGGGGGGGGCATATAGCTTGAATTACTTAGAGCTATTTTTACATTCCATTTTCTTGTTACGTAATTATGCACATCTGTTTCCTGATGCAATAGAGTAGTGAACTTCGCCTTTGTTGCAGCGGTATTGCTAGTAGTACAGCATCCTCCGATGTCGGCGGCGCTCTCCACTTTGTATATCAAACAGATGTTTCAGCCTCATACACGTAGGCCCCTAATGAAAGAAAATGGGAAATGGGGCCTTCATTAATTTGACATTATTAACTGACCCAATCTCTCCCCGCCTTCTCTCTCTCTCTCTCTCTCTCTCTCTGTCTCTGTCTCTGCATGTCTCTGTCTCTGTCTGTCTCTCTCTCCGTCTGTGTCTCTCCTCTCTCTCTCTCTTCTCTCTTCTCTCTCTCTCTCTCTCTCTCTCTCTATCTTCATACCAGGTTTGGACCCTGCAGGCCCAGGGTTTGGCGGGAAACGGGTGAGGAACTTCTGTCGTCTGGACAAATCCGATGCAACTTTTGTTGACGTCATACACACGGACGGTGAACTGATCGCAATGGGAGGGCTTGGGCTCATGGATGAGGTAACTATGGAAACAATTGTAAAAGATGTTCCTCTTTTTTGTGATTAATAGAAGGGGAAATCAGACAAGGGCTACATGACGTTAAACGTAGGCCAACTAATTTATAATCTAATTTGGTAATACAGGGGTACTATCTCTACCCCCCCCTCATTTTCACCTTCCCCCTCCCGCCCATTCCCTCTCTTTATCTCTCTCTCTCTACCTCTGTCTCTGTCTGTCTCTCTGTCTGTCTCTTTCTGTCTCTCTCTCTCTCTCTCTCTCTCTCTCTCTGTCTGTCTCTGTCTCTTTCTCTTTTTCTTTCTTTTCCCCTCTTTCCTACTATTCCACGTTCTACGCCTTCCCCAAAACTTCCAAAACTTTGGCGGGGGGGGGGGGCACATTTCCGGGGGGAAAAGGGGGTTTTCAGGATATTTATTGACTAACCAACAGACCGACATATTTTTTTCACATTTTTTTTTATAATCCGTGATGAGTCATAATTCAGGTCTCAAATTGAAAGGAATCTTTAGTGTATTCCCCGGGATTTTCAAGGGTAGAAACAAGGGCGAGTTGTGGACTTGTGGTCTCCTAAGTTTGCCAGTATTTCCCTATATTAGATAGCTTAGACAGATACCGAGATGTGATTGGTCCAGAGCTCGTCACGTGATATCAATTGTGAGGATCCAAATTGTTATACTTTCCTGGCCGGTCACTTTTCGGTGTTATAGTAACCAGCTGGTGAAATGAATATGTTTTTAATCAATGCATGTCGCCCTCTTGAGGACTGTATGTCACCAATTACACACATTACACCATTACCGAGGGTCATTTAATTTTTTCAATATTTTTTTTTCATGAATTTTTTTTTTCCCTTAAAATTATTTTTTCCACATTTTCTTTTTTTCCCAAAAAATGCTTTTTTGGGGTAATTTTTTTTTTTTCTTCCGAAAAATGCTTTTTTGGGTAAGAATTTTTTTTTTTCAATTTTTTTTTTTTCCCCAAATTTTTTTTTTTATAATTTTTTTTTTGTAAGGTTATTTTTTCTTTCTTGAACTATCTCGACGGATTAATTTTTCGTAATTTCCGGGAAAAAAAGGGGATTTTTTTTAGGGCAAACAATTTTTGGACCCCCCCCCCCCCCAACAAAAACAAAAAAGGGCTATCTAATATAACAGTTATTGACTGGCAGGGGGTATATAACATTCTTTGGACCTGAAGGGAGTTATAAAATATAACCACTTGGGAAATATAACTCCCTTCAGCGGTCCAAATAATGTTATATTACACCCCCTGCCAGTCAATAACTGTATAATATTCTCTGAACACTCAGTCGCTTAATTCTTTGTCCTAAATCTTTTTACAGCTTGGCCACCAAGATTTCTACCCCAACGGAGGGACGGACATGCCCAATTGCTACTTCAGCATCATCTGCGACCATATGAAAGCCATTGCATACTACACCGAGAGCATCTCCAAAAGTACCCCATGCCGCTTTAGGCCCACCACGTGGGCACCTAAATGGGACAACTACAAGAAGGGAATACAAACCCGGGACTGTAGGAACATGGTTTGCCCCGATATGGGTTACACTGCAAGTCCCATTCATGACGAAGGCGTGTTTTATCTCAAAACAAATAAATATTATCCCTTCTGTCAAGGGTGATAGGCGATTTCAGGAAAATGACCACAAAATGGAAATACGAAAGAAACATCAAAACACTTATGTACACTTTGTTTAAACGTTGTGATGAAGATCTGGGCCCTGTATTATAAAGAGTTGATATCAATCGCAAATTATTTGCGATTGATATCAATCGCAGCTATGTACACAAGAGATAGGAGACTGCAAACTTGCGATTGATCGGAGGACTTACGATTGATTTGGATCAATCGCAACTCTTTGTAAGACGGTGCCCTGTAGATGCCTACTATTAAATGATAACAGATACATTATGTACATATTAAAGTTATTCCTACTTCTTTTCACCTTCGAATGTATCCTCTGTCTCGCTCCGTCATTATTATCTGAACTCCTGGGACCCGTTTCACAAAGCCTTTTTTCAATGACAAATGACAAAAATCAGTGACAAATCTGTTAATAGCCAATCAGAAGCAAGGATTTCAGTAGGTTATAACAAAAAATGTCATTTGTCTGAAACCACAAGTTTTGTGAAACGCCCCCTGCATACATGTAAATACCAGGCAGCCTTTCCGGTGCACCCTTCGTTCCTCTCAAGGCATCATGCTACCAACCAGGCGCGTACACAAGGGGGGGGGGGGGGTTAAACCCCCTCCTTTGGCAATTTTGTGTGTGTAAACCCCCCCCCCCCCCCTAAATTTCCCTAACCCCCCTCCCCCCCCCCCCCTTTTGGATTTTTTTTTTTTTTTTTTTTAAATTAAAAAAGAAAAATCCAATGGTTGACCTAAAAAAGCTGACCTTACCTCTTACCCCCCCCCCCCCCCCCCCGCTTATTCAGCGGCTGGCTGAGTCGTTGCGAAATTTTGGGCCCGATTTATAAATGTTAAAACACCCCCCTTGAAAAAATCCTGCGTACGCGCCTGCTACCAACCCTTGGTGACAGAGCATTCACAACTCCTGCATCAAAACTATGGAATAATCTACCTAGATTTCTACGCAACCAGCAGTCTCTAAATGCTTTCCAAAAAATATCACAAAAGCTCACCTCTTCTGATAATAACGATATTGTAAAGCGCTTTGAACAAAGAATACTGTTGTTATCATTATTACAATTATTGCTATTATTCTTTCTTCTTCATTGTTATTGTCATTATTTTTTGTCATTTTTTGCCGTGAATTCCTATTGTTTTGTGCCTGTTTATATTATCATATTTTGCTGTTGCTGTTATCATAAGTTAAAGAGCTGCATGCACTTCAAGTGTACGCTTACGCTGCAGCTCTTCTGCATTTTGCTATGTCAATCGTTCCCAACACTTTGTTGCACAAATAATATTCATTGACGGTGATTTGAAGAAAAAAATTACTACTATGTACAAAATATTCAGATTGTTACTGATTATTATTGTATGAAAAATTGAAAAATCAATCAACCGAACCAAAATCAAATCAAATTATTATCATTATTATAACACAATGTTTTGTGTGTTTTTTCTGTTAAACTGCTACCTCAACATATTTCATTTTACCCATTGCTTACACTGGAACCGAGTGGCCCCTGTATTAAGCCTATAGTAATGAATAAATTTAGTTGTCAATAGGTTAATGTGAAAATACAATTTTAAATATGTCAAGTGTAGTCAGTGTATCTTTTGTAATAATTGATCATTTTCTTCTTCTTTTTATCACCATTATCATTTTCTTTATGTTTTCCTTCGAGTCAGAGTTAGAGCCTCAACAGTAGAACAAAACCTGTGTGTAAGTAAAACCATTCAACCTAACTGACATTAAAAAATAAACATACAAAACTTTGGATACGTAAATTTGAATGATTTAGATGTAATTGAAAGTTGTTTCAAATTATAATTTAAACATATTTTCAGGGTAATAAGGATCAAAATAGAAACACGAAATTTAGGAAAATCAAAAACAAAGGCATTGATGAATGGATAAAATGAATAAATGAATAAACTGATGAATGACTGATGAATAAATTAATGGATAAATTGATGTATAAATGAACGAATGAAGGACAAATAAATTGTTGGATGAATAATAGTGATGAATGAATTGATGACTGATGAATGGATGAAGGTATGACTGACAATCAATAAGTTGATGGATGAATTGATGAATAAAAGAATGAATGTTGGAAAAGTGTAAAAATGTCATTCATATATGGATGCTTAATAATAATCTTAAGCTAAACGATAGTAAGCGTGCATTTTGGGTTATCGGAACTTCACAACAAATTTCAAAATAAGAGTGGGATCCTCCAATGTGAAACCCTCTGTTACAGCAAGGAATTTAGGAGTATACTTTGATACTAATTTGAACATGGAAACACAGTCATGTTAGAAATATATGCAAATCAACATACTATCTTCTATACAATCTCAGACGTATCCGCAGATATTTTGATCAAGAAAGTATAAAATTGGTTCGATATGCTCTCATCACAAGTAAGCTTGATTACTGTAATGGGTTGCTGTTTGGAATGCCTGATTCTCTGATATAGCTAGGTTACAAAGAGTCCGAAATGCATGTGCAAGACTTGTGTATCATCGGTCAAAATTCACTTCAACCACACCTCTTCTGAGAGAGCCGTACTGGTTGCCAGTCCATCAACGAATTTCTTTCAAAATGTTGTTCATTGTGTATAAATCATTGAGTGGTCCTAAAGTTACATAACAGAATTCCTTCAACTTAAAGGTAATACAAAGTTTTGGGAAATTTTGAAAATTGGGTGGATAGTGAATCTACACAATTTTGATATATTTGGATGCCTCTGTGGATGTATTATAAGTACTCAAAAAAGCAGCCTCTAAAACAATTCTGTTTTCGAGAAAAATTGAATATAAAATTTACCGGTGCTCCCGGTAAATTTTGATAAATTTCAAATAGCGCCGTACAATGGTAGCTGCGACCATAAACATCTCAGAATATGTAGTTGGGATATATAATTTCCAAACGGGAATAGCTAATCGGTCGACTTTAGTCAAGAAGCATTGTTTCATAGCTAAATTAATAGCTTGACCTTGAGAGGGAGCTATACAACTTAAAGAGTTTATTATTTATAATTTCATAACTTTAGACTCGATTTCAACCGCGACAACGATCAATGTATATTGTAGGAACGCATATGCTTTCAATATGTTAATTTGAACCAAATTCATGACTCCATACCAAAACTTTGTAATACCTTTAAAGTCCAGTCACACAGCCGTAGGCTGCGCAGTTCCAGATTCCCCGTTTGCCATTACTTCCCCCTAACAATGGAATAGCTTGCCAACAGAAATACGAAGCTCTCCATCTCTCGATGTCTTCAAATCCAAATTAAAAACACATTTTTTCAATTGAGATATTCTGTTTTGTAGAATTTAGTATTTTGAAAAAGGAGCTCTGAACCAGCGCAGCTGATTATATTTCGTATAAAAGCTGCGCTATTATTTCTTATTATTAACAAATTGATGGACAAATGAATAAATAAATGAACAAATGACTGACGAATAAATAAATGGCTGAATGGATGATTGAATGAATGTCTAAATCTTGAAATTAATTCAGGGGCTCCCATCGACTAAGATCCGGAAGTTTGACAACATTCGAAAAGTGAAGAAAAACAAGGTAATTGACCAACCAAATAAAAACTAAATAAAAACAAATAAGCAAACAAACAAAAGAAAGGAAAAAGTAGCACGGCATTATGATAGCGCCCACCTCGGTATGTTTTGCAACCCTTGTTCGAAAGACTAGATAATTGTCTTTAAAATATGAATAAATCAAATCAAATCAAAGCTGTACGCGTACAGCTTTCTTTTGCAGCAGGAGAATATTATTAGTCACATACTTGGATGTTGCCCACAAAATATTACAATAGGATATATGTAGTAAAGTTAGACTATTATATAGCATAAGTAATACTCTATCAGAAACAAAACATTTCATTCTACACAGTAGGCCTACGCCAATATTTCTGGAGATTGGTGTAACATTGTGTTTTACATGGTCGCTCCAGTCAAGTGGCATTGATATATAGACACCAAGAAACTGTGTACATTTCTTTCTCTCTATAGAAATATCATCTAGTTTAATATTTAGTGCAAGGATGTCATTAGATTTTCTATCTCTATAATATATCAATATAATCATATCTAACATATAATGTTATGCAAGGCCCGCTGGAAGAGCAGTTTCATAACTGAAGTGGCTACCCTGGTTAAATATGCATGCCTGTATAATATAGTAGTCTGCTTCGGAATGCTTCGGAAATACTAGTTGAAAATAAATAAATGATTCCGTTGTCCGGGTATTTACCTGATGAAGCACCATCGCTGCGAAACTTCAATTTTCTTTTGTTCAGACGTTTCGAGGAATCATTTATGCATTCATTTTCAATTTGTCACGTCCGGATGTCACGTACACCCGACCTGGCTTTTATCGTCTCGAAATTGTGAAAACAAATTATGATTCTTACTGGATTCCGAAGTGGGCCTATTGCAGTTATTTGAACCAGATAGATTTATCGCTTTGGTCTCAGACCACCTGGGCTATACATGCACGCAGAGTACAAGAAAAATAATCAGCAAATAGATTTTGAGGCCATTGAACAAATTGTAATAACAATGTAATGAAAACTCTAAAACCGTAAAGCAGGCATAAAATTTCGCGTCCCAAATCTCGGATACGTTGCAAGTTTTTGGCATAATGTAGATAATAAACGAGCCACAGAAATATACATTTTCTAACGCTCGATTCCTTCGCTTTCACCGTCTTAGTGAATTAATTCCAGAGGGCACAGTCATGTACAATTTCATTGCTAAGTATTGTCGATTGTTGCTTTTAAAAAAAAATTGGCATACTATCTTAGGTCTCTATATAGGGTTGATTTAGTTGAAGAAACACGCAGGTTGATGTTTAATAAAACGATGAAATAAAAATGATAATATTTCATTTGTCCTGTCTTATTTAATAAACACTGGTACAGGGTAAAGGAGGATTAGAGAGAGGAAAAGAAAGAGAGAGAGAGAAAGAGAGAGAGAGAAAGGGGAGGAATAGAGGATGAGAGAGAGAGAGAGAGAGAGAGAGAGAGAGAGAGAAGAAAAAGTGAGCGAATAAAAAATTAGAAGGTTAATAATGTCCAATGTATTCAAAATATAGTTGTATGCCTATCTCCAACAAAACATTACAAATCAATTATTCGTTTACTATAAGGAAACAGAGGGGTCCACTAATATAAAGCATTGCTTGTACAATTATTGTAGTCCCCTCAAATGATAGTTAGGAATAATGATAAATTAAATTAACAAAATCGTAACTACAAAAAGGAACTAAAATAGGAAATAAAGGGGAGACGAGAACTGGACAAGAGAGAGTACTTTAAGGCCAATAAATTATTGGAGAATACGGTCACAATACAAAAAGTATAATAGACAATGCCAAATAAGCAGGCGCGTAGCCACGGGGGGCACGGGGGGGGGGGCACGTGCCC